GTGGCATTCCAGCACTTAATGGCTTCTACTTGTGGAATGAAGGGCTGGGTCTCCGGGGAGCAATTCCAGAAAGAACTGAGTAACATGGCATCTTTGGGCAGAAAACACACCTGAGAGCCTCAGAGGCAGTAAATTTACTCTTTTCCCCAAATACCAGGGGGACAGAACAACAGGTAAATTAACCGCTTGCCAGGTTCTGTGCAAACGATTTCCACTCGTGATCTCAGCCAGTCCTCGCGAGACACTCCTTCCGCAGGCGGACTCAGCGAGACCCAGCAATCTGCCCACGGTCACAGCGGGTGGGCCCTAACCTGCGACCAACCCCGCCAGACAGACAGACAGACAGACAGCCCCGAGCCCGGCCTCACCTTGTACTCCCGGAACTTGCTGACGATGGGCTCATGGAGGAGGAATCTGATGTCTTTGATCAGGTAGAACGTCCGGGCCGCCGTGGAGCCCTTGTTCACCTTCTTCTTGTGTTTGGGCTCGTGGGGGTAGATGCCCTTCAGGATGCACAGCCGCCTGGAAGACAGAGGCCGTTCCTCCCGTCAGTGAACGTGCTGGGCGCCGGCCACCCGGGGCCTGGAAAACAGCACTGGACAGGCAGCACGGGGGCCTGCCCTTGGAGAACTCACATCCTGGTGAGGAGCCTGGCAGTCACGTGACACATCGACGGTCACAAGCACCAGAGAGAAACCGTCAGGATGGAGAGAGGGGCCAGGCGGCGGGTACCGCTTTTGGCAAGAGGAGTCAGGAAAGGCCTTGCCGAGAGGCCAACCTTTCAGCCACACACAGAGGGAAGAGCGTGCTGAGAAGGACAGAGGCTGTCCGGGTGGGAAATGCCGGGCACGGCTGAGGGACTAACAGCGGGCCAGGCGGCGGGGCCTGCAGGCTGTGCAGGAGGCTGGAGCTGACTCCACCAGGAGCTGAGAACCCCTCGCTGTAGGGCCGGGGTCTCCTCTGCCAGAGGAAGGAGATGGGTGGCAGAGGCAGGCAGACAGCAGCGGGCCCATCCTGAGAACCCAGCACAGGGAGCCCAGGTCTCCTTGGCTTCCCCACAGACCACACCTGGCAAAGCACAGCTTACTAAAGCTAGGGCAGGTGAGGAAGAGGAGGAACGTCGGAATCGCAGATGCAGTTTGTGGCAGCGCGGGGGAGATGGGATGCAGCTGCGTTTTCCTTGTGTAACTCCCTCCCCAAGCACCCCCGCGGCTCCCCCTGTCCATGCCTTCCCAGCTGCACCTGAAGTCGGGCAGGCTCAGCTGCAGCTTCTTCCGAGCTTTGTTGCGGGTGATGTAGTTGGTGGCAGAGCCGCGTTCATACTTGGGGGGAGAAAAATAAAAAATTCCATTAGCAATGATTGAAGTGACTGACCTAGATCTTGGGCATGCCTCCTGCCAGAGGCAAGCATCTCTGAATAAGTGGCCCCTGGGATAGGAAACGCTGGAAGGAGGGACCCGCCTGCCTGAATGAACTCTCCTGCACTGTCCTTGGCCAACCCGGCTTTGTCCTCGGCACGGTGCTGGCGATCGTGGGCTGCTATGGATCAGGTGCTGTGCCTAGCCCTTAGGAGTAGCTCCAAGTATTGGCCATTACGATTAGCGATTTCCGCACATCATTTCATCGAACCCCGACAACACGGTGAGGTGGGTGCCGTGAAACTCCCACTGCACCCGGGAGGAGTCGTCCGAGTGAAATCACCCGGCTCACAGAGCTTTTCAAGGGGCCGGGGGTCAAACCCAGGTCTGAGTCCAGAACCTCAGTGCCTACGCCACGAAGCCAGAGTTCTCAACTTTTTTTTCTTTATAATCACCCCCCCTGCCCGCCAGCAAAAGGCCTTTTTAGACCTTTCCCCCCTTAATTGCCCCCTCTCACAGATGCCATTATTAACATATTATTAAAATAGTAATACCACAGAGGTACTGTATGATAGATCTGTTTGTGTCAAGTGGTCCTTCAGAGGGCCAGACACCATTGAAATATCTAAGACTCGCCCTCACACACCATTTTCCTTTCCTTGGGGGTGATATTATCTGGTTGAGAATAAGTCAAAAAGCCTCTCCCCTTCCACCCTCATTCATTCAACAAGCAATAACAGGACCTCGACCATGTTCCAAGCATTAAGCTAGAAGGCAGGAGGGTAAGCAAAACAAAAGGCCTGAGCAACCATCCGGATGCCTATGACGCCAAGATGCTGCCTCGCACTCGGATCTCTTGTCTCCCTGGTGAAGCGCAGCCGTGCACTGTACCAAGCTCCAGGCAAGGCTCACCAAGCATATCCTCTCTACACACGATGATGTCTCTCTCTCTCTCTCTCTCTCTCTCTCTCTCTCTCTCTCTCTCGGGAGTCAGGGGGCAGGGGCCTCCATGGCCAAGTGCAGCTTATAACCCTGCAGCCTCTTGCGGGGTATGTTTACGGATCGCCCACAGTCACCAAACACACCCCTCGTTTGCTCCCTCTTTCACAGCACATTTAACAATCTTGGATAGTTTTGGTTCCAGGAAAAAAAAAGAGGGGGGAGGGTAACAAGTCTTGGAGATGATGAATTCGACGTCATGGAGGCCTTGACGCAATGTGTATCCCTCTTTATTCCGTAAGCAGCCGTCTTCCGGCTAGACCTGCTTTTCGGGGGACGCTACGCTTGGTTATCGACTCTTGTTAACAATCCTGATCCAGGGATCTTCCCCGGATTTCCCCGGACCAGTACTGCCTTCCTCGCCCATCCTCCGGGTACCCAGGAGGGGCCAAGGCCGGGGAAAGGCGGGGGGTCCCCAGGCCCCGTCGCGCCCCTGTTGCCCGCCTTCCGAGGCCTCCCCTCGCCACCCCAACCCCGGGATCTCCCCCACTCACCTTCTTCTTCTCCAGGCCTCCCATGGCTCCACGCTGAAGGGGCCCGCAGCGCCGCGCGGACTGACAGCGCCGCTTCCTCCCGCACGTGCCCCGCCTCAGGCCCCGAGGCCCCCGCGCAGCCCGTCTGCGCAGGCTGCCCAGCGAGGTGCCTGAGCGCGTGTAGGCACAGCCGGGGCTTTCCTCCGCACAACTTAAGGAGGAAAAAAAATCACTGAGGCCGTTCTTTTGAGATTTTTCCACCTGTGACTCTACTGCAGACCGTTTCCACGTTTAAACGAGGGATGAAGGCATGAAGGCATCTCTGTAGTGATCACGTTGGTGACGATTCCCACGGCATCGGAGCCCCGTTGCATGTTGGGATGGAGAGGGGCGGAAGGCTTGTAAACAGCGCAGTGCCTTCTGGGAAGCAGAGGGGAACCGCGTTTAGAGGGGGAGGGAACGCGTCCTGTTGTCGTGGTAACGGTTACTAGGTGTCGTTGGTACTTAGGCCCACCCCAAGGCTAAAAGTGGCCACCGTGGGGCGCTGGATGAGGTTGCGCGCGGTTCGGCTTTTCCTTTAGTTATGTGGGTAAACTAAAGCTGTTATGTGGGTTAAATAAAGCTAAAGCAGACTTTTATCCTACGGGGGCAGAGAAACCAGAGAGGCCACTTATAGTTTCTGAGCCTTAGTGGTAGGTTAAAAATGATGAAAGGCCAGAGTTCAGAGCTCCTAGTATATTTAAATGTACACTTAACACATCTGAGCTTTTAATATGTATACGTGAGCCCTAGCCAATTTGGCTCAGTGGATAGAGCGTCAGCCTGTGGACTCAAGGGTCCTAGGTTTGATTCTGGTCAAGGGCATGTGTCTTGGTTGCAGGCACATCCCCAGTATGGGGTGTTCAGGTGGCAGCTGATCAATGTTTCTAACTCTCCATTCCTCTCCCTTCCTCTCTGTAAAAAATCAATAAAATGTATTTAAAAATATGTACTGTACACGTGAATTTTGTATTGTGTTCTCCAGAGGATAATTACAAAATTTAGACATTCACACCAAGGTAGTGTGGTTTGGAAAGTAGATAATTTTTTTTCTTAGTTTTTAAAAAAATATATATATTTTATTGATTTTTTACAGAGAGGAAGGGAGAGAGACAGAAACATCGATGATGGAGAATCATCGATCAGCTGCCTCTTGCACACCCCCTACAGGCAGTTCCTCAATGCCATCCGCATCCACACCCAGGGTTAGAGTTGTTTGCCATCTCAACCACGGGCTTATTGGTTTTTGTAGCATTTGCACTATGATGTTATGGTGGCTTCAACATCATTGGGCAATAGAATTTTTAGAAATATATTTCTATTGATTTTTTACAGAGAAGAAGGGAGAGGGACAGAGAGCAGGAAACATCAATCAGCTGCCTCCTGCACGACCCCCACTAGGAATGTGTCCAAAACCAAGACACATGTCCTTGACCGGAATCGAACCTGGGACCCCTCAGTCCACAGGTCGACGCTCTATCCACTGAGCCAAACCGGCTAGGGCTCTGGGCAATGGAATTTGTTTGGCTCCACTATAAGCTTATGAGACTACCATTGTATAGACAGGCCATCCTTGATTGAAACGAGGTATAGGACTGCATTTATCTATATCAAGAGCTTGACTTGTGGTAATAAGTCAGGCACAAAAAAAAAACCCACAAAACATTATCTTGAAAGAATGAACCTTGGCTATTTGCCATGAAATGATGGCAATAAATAAAAGTTTATTTGGAAATGATTAGAGGCGTTTTAAGGGCTGAGCAACTTCCCAAGTGGAGCTGGCAGGGAGCTTAAGGAGAAGGATGTCATCCCATTCTTTCCTCTCACGCGGGAGAAAGTATTTCCACTTCAGAGAGGTGAAGCGACCTGGCCAAGGTCACACAGCACGGCCAGCGCTAACCCTTGTGCACCGATCTGCCTATGGGGCCGGGCAGGTGAGAAATCCCTTCTTTTCTCTCCTTGCAGAGATTTTTTTTTTTTAAGGTTCCTTTTCTAGTCCCGATAAACAACCCCGAGGCCGCCCAAATGATTACATCCTGTCCCTTCACTTGTTTTGTTTGGTCTCCAGGTGCTTCCAAGTTTCCCGGTCGGTTAAAAAAATCTAACCCGTCTGGTCCCCAATCAGCCAGCCCCTCCCTTCTTGGGCGGGCAGATAGCAGCTGACTTTAGCAGTCTCGATCACGTGACCCCGCAGCTCCCCCGTTCTGCTCCCTGTCCCGGGCCTGGGCAGGCACTTCCAGGGGCTCCTTCTGTGAGGGGCAGCAGGTAGGCACCCCCCCACCTCACTGCCCGTGCACCGCTGGACAGTAGGGGGGTACCCCACAGGTGCAGGTAGGTGGACTTGGGCAGATCCGACGGCGGGCTCTCCGGACAGAAGGACCACATGTGTCTGGCCTCGGAGCGTCCCGCACCACCCCTCCTCGCCCTCCCCTTCCCCTTACCTCCGGGAAGGCCACAGCGCCCTTCCTTCCTCTGCTCTTTGGTCTTCCTTTCCCCTCGGTGGCAGACCTTCACCCTTTTTGTTTCTGCTGACCTCGCAGCTCGCTGCCGGACGGGGAGAGATTAATCAGTGACAGGTACCTGCCTCTCAGAGCAGCGACCGGCCGTGGCCAGCACAGCCTCTGCCAGCACAGCCTCTGCCAGCGCAGCCCCGGGAGTTCCCCGTCCGGGTCCCCGTCTGCCGCTCGCCCACCTGCCGCTGCCATGGGGCGGCTTGGGGCGCTCCTCCTGCTGCTGGGGGCCCTGGGGGCTCTCGCTGACATCTGCAGTAAGTACCAGACCCCCGTGCCTCTTTCCTCCTGAGGACCCTCTTGTTTCAAGTCCCTCCTTCCCTCGCTGGGGAAACCGGGGTGCCGAGGTGGGACGTGGTACGAAGTGCCAGCCTGCCCCTTCAGGGGCTCACAGCAGTGTGGGCTTGGCGGGCGCTCAGCTAGGCCTCAGCATTTCGCACATGGTGTTGAGATGAATGATACGTCGGACTCCCCGCCAGACACGATCGCCTCCGTCCGTTCAGTCATTTGTGCATTGATCCGGTCAACACGCGTTGGTTGAGCCTTCCGGTGACAGGGTGGTGGTAGGGTTTGGAGAGAGAACAGGGAGAGAGAGAGAGAGAGAGAGAGAGAGAGAGAGAGAGAGAGAGAGAGAGAGAGAGTCTGTCCCTGTCCTCCCGCAGCTTCCGTGCTAGTGAAGGGGCTCAGGAAGGCAGTCAAGAGGCAAATCAGCGCTGTGTGTGTGTGTGTGTGTGTGTGTGTGTGTGTGTGTGAGTGTGTGTGTGTGTGTGAGTGTATGTGTGGTGCGGGGGGCGGGGAGTGGCACTGAGTTAGGCTCTAGGCCACCAACTCGGGGAGAGAGGTCGGGGCAGGATCTCCAAGGAGCTGGGGACAACACAGGAACTGAAATACAAAAAGAGGAAAAGAAACTGGCCAAGCCCTAACCGGTTTGGCTCAGTGGTAGAGCATCGGCCTGCGGACTGAGGGGTCCCAGGTTCGATTCCGGTCAAGGGCATGTACCTTGGTTGAGAGCATATCCCCAGTGGTCCAGGAGGCAGCTGATCAGTGTTTCTCTCATCGATGTTTCTGGCTCTCTCTCCCTCTCCCTTTCTCTCTGTAAAAAAAAATAAAAATCAATAAATATATTAAAAGAAAAGAAACTGGCCGAGGGAAGTGAGTATGGAGACCCTGCTGGGGAGACATCTCCCAGAGGGGCAGAGAGGGCCACGGTGAAACACTGGCATTGTGTCCCTGTGTACCAGGGCCGGACCCCAGGGGCCTCTCGGGACCTGTCTGTGGGTCTGAGTGCCAGGCATGGGGCTGCCGGGCCCCTGGGGCCAGGCAGGAAGGGAGGCCTCTGAACTCCGAGGCCACCCACCTGCCTTCTTCCCTCGGTGCTCCGCCCATAACGGGATGTCCTGCCATTCACGTTCACCGCCAGGGCGATCCTCGGAGAAGCCAAGAGGCAGGCCCGGCCGTGCCCATGTGATGGGTGAAGCAGCCAAAGGTTGCAGGGGCGAGGTGACCTGCCCCGGGTCCCTCTTTCCAGGAATCTGGCTTTGCCACTCAGTTCTCAGAACTGGGGCAAGGTCAGGGGCACGGGGAGCCTCCAGCCAGGGTTCCTCAGGCGACACCAGACCCTGTAGCCCTTGACCCGGCTCCTGTCCAGACAGTGCCCAGGGGAGACCTAGGACCTGGCCCCTAACCTCTCTGATTGTGAGCATTTTATTTATTTTATTTTCAGTCCTCACCCGATTTTTCCACTGATTTTCAGAGAGAGGGAGAGACAGAGAGAAACATCGATGTGAGAGAGACACGTTGATTGGTTGCCTCCTGCACCAGCCTCCACCAGGGTCTGGGTTGGGGAGGAGCCTACAACCGACGTACCTGCCCTTGACCAGAATCAAACCACTGAGCCACACCTGCTTCCCCAGCTCCGCACTCTGGGACACTAACACCTGTGGGAGGTGGGTTCCTGCGCCTGGGAGTGGTGATGCCAGGCAGGACTCAGCGGGCAGGGCCGGGCGCCCTGGGCGCAGGAGGCTCCAGGGGGAAGGGTGCTGGGCGGGCCCTGCACTTTATGACCTTTTATGACCCGAAGTGAATCGTTATGACCCCCGGTGAATCTGCCTGGCGCCTTCCTTTTAAGGAGGCTGTTTACTGCTCCAGCTTCTCTTCTTATCTCCTCTAACCCCGGGCTGACTCACCTGCCCCAGGTCAGAGCCCCGGCTGGGGGCAGGGATTCCCTCGCCATTTTAAAGAAAAGAGAGAAGGAAAGGAATATGGAGGGGACGGATGATCGGAGAGAGACAGGCTGGTCAGAGAGAGAGAGAGAGAGAGAGAGAGAGAGAGCGCGAGAGAAATGAAGACAAATACACAGGAAGGCTCTAAAATAGAAAGGGGCCGAAACCGGTTTGGCTCAGTGGATAGAGCGTCGGCCTGCGGACTGAAGGGTCCCAGGTTCGATTCCAGTCAAAGGCATGTACCATGATTGTGGGCATATCCCCAGTAGGGATTGTGCAGGAGGCAGCTGATCGATGTTTCTAACTTTTTTCCTCTCCCTTCCTCTCTGTAAACAATCGATATATATATTAAGAGAGAGAGAGAGAGAGAGAGAGAGAGAGAGAGAGAGAGGGAGAGAGATCTATGATTTGGAGAAAACAGATGTAAGATGGTAGGGCCCACACCGGAAGAGATGGGGCCATGGGAGCAGAAGGAGGTCCAGGAGGCACTCTGCCAGCCATTCCTCAGATCCTGGGACAGGGCACAGAGCACAGAGCCAGCCCTGCAGTGTCGTACGTGGGGAGAAGTCCAAGGTGACAGCAAAGCCACCTGCTCAGCTCAGGAACCTTCCCTAAGGGAGGAGGCTGGGCCGAGGTGAGCGCGAGAAGCGATGATGACAGTCCCTTCCTCTAGGGGCTGGCGTGAGGACCAGGTGCGGTCAGGCATGGTGCCCGGGGGGCACCCCACATGGCTTGGCCTCCAGTCTCTCTGTCACTCCTGAGGGGCAGAGTCGTTGCCTGGCAACCAGCTTACTCTGTCCTGACCAACCATCCTTGCCTGGCCCACACCAACCGCTGTTTGGGGATAACCTGCTTTCTGCCCTTCACCGCTCTGCCTTTCTTGATGGCTGGATTTCCCCGTAGAGTAGAGGGTGTTTGGTGGAGGGGGAGGGGGGACGTGTTCCTAGGAGGAGGCCCTGGAGAGGTAAAAGCAGGTCCTGGCTGGTGGCCTGCCCCTGCGACCTCACGTGGCCTGTTCTCTTTCTCAAGTCATACCCGAGGTGGACAGCAGCCTGGTGCAGAGTCTGGGCCAGCGCCTCTTGCCCTGGCTGGACCAGCTCTCTCTGGAGGACCTGAACCCCAGTATCTACGTGGGCCTGCGCCTCTCCAGCCTGGAGGCCGGCTCCAAGGAGCCCTTCTACCTACACAGCCTCAAGGTTGATTACCAGCAGAGCCTCCTGAGGTATTGCCATGCTCTCGCTTCTCCACCCCCCCTCCCCGCTTGCTCCATATCCGACTGCATGCTAGTTTGGGCTTGTCACTGATCTGTTCGGAGACCTTAGACACGTTTCACCTCCCTTGCGCCTTTTTCCGTCTGTTGAGTGGAATTGGTTTGATGAGGCTGGAGATGCCAATACAGGGTCCTTGTGCTGCTTCTGCACCCTCCTGTACCCGAGACAGACATCACTAATCCATGACCACACCCTTCCTCCACACTGAGCTCAGAAGCAGCATCTGTGTCTGTGTTCCTATTCCATGCCTGGGGCAGACATCACTAATCCATGACCAAACTGAGTTTCAGAAGCAGCATCTGTGTCTGTGCTCCTATTATTCCATGCCTGGGGCAGACATCACCAATCCATGACCACACCCTTCCTCCACACCGAGCTCAGAAGCAGCCTCTGACTCTGCGCTCCCTTTCTGGGGGATTAAGGGAGGCCTGTTCTGGGGTCCAGTGTGGGAGTGTGCATGAGAGAGGAAGGATCAGGAGCACCACGGAGCATCTCCTTCTTGGACTCCCTCTTAAGCAGTAGACGCAGGGCAGGGAGAGGAAAGGAAGGGAAGACACGTGGGCGAAGGGTGACCCACATGGCGGGGCAAGCTCGGGCCACTGGGATGGGAGGACCCTCCGCGCGCGTGTCCTTGAGTTTAATTTTTCACCTTGACGAGATATGTGTGGCGTCCACCTCACCGCTTACCTGACTGACTGTTTATGTTTGGGGGAAGGTTCTAGCCAGTGTTCCAGCTGCTGGTATTATTTTTCCCCCCCCACTTTGTGACGTTGGTGGGGAGGGGGCGGCACCCGGCGCCAGGCTCACCTGGGTGGCACTTTCCCCCGGAAGTGTGGCTGGCTGACTCTGTCCTAGGCGTGCCCCCAGCGACGAGGGCGCTGACCCCCAGCCCAAGCCCTCCATGGGCCAGCTGGCTCTCTACATGCTGGCGCTCAAGGCCAACTGCGAGCTCATCGGCGGCCACAAGGGGGACAGGCTGGTGTCCCAGCTGAAGCGGTTCCTGGAGGACGAGAAGCGGTCCATCGGTGAGCGGGCGCAGTCCGCGGGGGGCGGGCTTTCTCCCCAGGCCTCCTCGCTCCTGCCCTCCGTGCTCCTGACCTCACCGTCCACACAGAGGCGTGGGCCCCCCCCCCCCTGTAGGCTTCCTGGATCAAGCCTTTCCTGCACTCCACCTGCCCTCGGTCAAGTTTTGCTGCTCGACCTGACTATCCACCTCTGGGGCAACCACACACACACAGCCTTCTTCGTAGCGACTCCTTGTCCTCCTTTCTGCTAATGGTCCTCCTCCGGACCTGACCCGGCACACACAGAGCGAGAGAATTTTAAATACCAGTCCGACCGTTTAGTCGTAGGGATGTCGAACTCAATCAGAGAAGGGGCCAAAATCTAAAATCCAGCCTAAATCGCGGGCCGACTGGTTTACTGAACAGACATAAACTGTCATTGTGATGGAAACGCAGCGGAGTGCAGTGATGACAGCGCGGTGCGGGCCACATTGCAAGGCCTGGCGGGATGGATTTGGCCCGCGGGCCTTGTGTTTGACACATGTGGTTTAGTGCCACGTAACCCCGGCAGGTGCTTGCTCGCTGCTGTGTTCACAGCCCCCAGGCCCAGGCTGTCTGCCATTTTCTTTTTTGCTCCCCAGGCTCTGCCCGCCCACTCTCTGGCTTAGCCACGCCCTGGGGGCTCCAGCCACATGGGCCTTCTCTCAGCTCCCACATCGGGGTCTCCATGATGTTCCCTCTATCTGGAAGGCTCCCCCCGCCCCCTCTGGCTCCCGCCCACCTCCTCTTCCAGCATCACCTCCTTGGAGGCTCCCGCCCTGACTCCCCAGATACTCACGGACCTCCGTGACCCCGCCCCTCGGACCTCGTCCGCATCTCGGTTCTGATCACGTCCCCCTGAGTGTGGGCTGTGCTGGACGGAGGCCCCGGGTGCATGGCGCCTCCCTGTGGTGACCGCAGTCACACTTCCAGGCACAGCGCCGGGCGCTTCCCGGGGCCTCGGCGAGCCTGGGCCGAAGGGGCAAAGGGGCAAAGGAGCCCATGACCCAGAGGAGGGTGATGGGAAGCCTAGGCCCCGGGTCCCGTGTGCTGGTGGTGCTGGCTGCGGGGAGGGGCTGGAGAGAGGCCACCCCTCAGGCTCGGGTGCCACCCTCACCCCCTGGTCTTCCCCTCTCAGGGCACGACCACAAGGGCCACCCCCCCGGCGGCTACTACCAGTACGGCCTGAGCATCCTGGCCCTGTGCGTCCACCAGAAACGGGTCCATGACAGCGTGGTCGGCAAGCTCCTCTACGCCGTGCAGCACGACCACCACCTCCAGGGGGGCCCCCTCTCTGTGGGTGAGTGGGCCGGACCCCCGCCCTCCCCGTCCGAGGCCGGGCCGGCGCTCCTGCAGCCCCCCCTGCCCACCTCTCCTTGGGCCCCGTGCGTGCCGAGTCCATCGGGAGCAAAACAGCGAGGGCCGCCCTAGCCGGTGTGGCTCAGTGGATAGAGCGTCGGCCTGTGGACGGAAGGGTCCCAGGTTCGATTCCGGCCAAGGGCACGTGCCCTGATTGTGGGCTCGATCCCCAAGAGGGGGCGTGCAGGAGGCAGCCGATCCGTGATTTTCTCTTTCATCATGGATGGTTCTGTCTCTCTAATCCCTCTCCCTTCCTCTCTGAAATCAATAAGGAAATATATATTTAAAAATATTAAAAACAAAACAAAACAAAAAGCACAGCGAGGGCTTGTGTGTGGGGCAGCGACGGTGGCCAGCGCTGGCGTTGGGCTGGGACCCTGACCCCGGCTCCCATGGCCGCGTTCCCCGCAGACATACTGGCCATGGCGGGCTTGGCCTTCACCTGCCTGGAGCGCTCCAACCTCAACTCGGATCTGCGACACCGGATCACCCTGGCCGCCAGGACGGCAAAGGAGAAGGTCCTGAGGGCCCAGACCCCTGAGGGCTACTTCGGCAATGTCTACAGCACCCCTCTGGCGCTGCAGGTGCGACAGCGGCTCTGGGGCCGGGGTCTGCCCTGTGGCTCGGTGGTGGGAGGAGGCAGGCTCATCGGGCGCCGGGAGACCTGGCTTCTCCCTGCTGGCTGATCCTCCTCCTCCCCCTCCTCCTCCTCCTCCTCCTCCTCCTCCTCCTCCTCCTCCTCCTCCTCTCCCCGACTCTCACAGCTGCTGACGACCGCCCCGATGCCCGGGATGGAGCTGGGCATGGCCTGCCTCCACGCGAGGGCCGCTCTGTTGGCCAGCCTGCAAGACGGCGCCTTCCAGAACCCCCTCGTGATCTCCCAGCTGCTGCCTGTCCTGAACCACAAGAGCTATGTGGACCTCGTCTCCCCGGACTGCCTGGCTCCCAGAGGTAGTCGCCAGGCCCCTCACGGGAGCTCGGTTGTCTTAGAAAGGCGGAGAACCACGGTTCTGGAGAGAGCCCTCTGGGTGCTGGGTGGCAGGTTGGTGGGAGGGGGACACTGGAGGCAGAGAGACCACGGAGGGGCCTGCTGTTGGGTGGGTGGCCGGGGATGGGGGGGGCTAAGGCACGGGGTGGCCTGGGCCAGGCTCCGGCTGAGCAGGCGGTGGTGGCGTGGACGGAGATGGGACATCAGGAAGGAGGAGGTCCTGGTAGGTCCCGAGGTCTCCAAGGGAAGGAAGGAGAGTTGACCCCCAGGCCCCCGGCCCTCACACCGGCTGGCTCTGCCTCTCTCCCGGGCGCAGTCCTGCTGGAGCCGGCGACGACCACCCCCCCACCGATGCAGCTCCCCGAGTTCATCCACGTGATGCTGAAGGCCCCCAGCGTGTGGCCGCCGTACAGACACGCCGTCTCGGTGCCCGCCGGGGCCTCCCTGGAGGATGTGCTGTGGAAGGCCCAGGAGCTCGGAGGATTCATGTGAGACCCCCCCGCCCCCCGCCACCTCCCCGCCCTCACCCCTCCCGACCCCACGTCCCTTCTCCTGTGTGCTTCTCCTGTGACCGGTGGGGAGTCTGGCCCAGAGAAGCTGAGTGCCTTCCACCGAGTCCCCCAGACCCCGGCTTCTCTTCTAGAAAGAGGGGCCTCGGGGTGAGAGGGCCCCCGTGTCTGGCCCCCGTTGGATTTTCCGACAGACAGGGAGGGCTTACTGCTGGCACCTTGGGGTCACCTGGACCCAGGAAATTTCAGGGAAGAGAGAGGGAGAGAGAGAGGGGAGGGGGAGGAAAACAGACAGTGTGCAGAGAGGAGTGCTCTGAGCAGCCATGGGACCCCCCCACACAATGTTAGGGGCCACGTGGCCCCACAGAGTTAGCGGGTGACTGGGAGTCACCTTTTCCCACCCTCATTGTCTGTCCCTTTGGCAGGTATGGGACCCGGGCCAGCCTGTCAGGCCCCTACCTGACCTCCGTGATGGGGAAAGAAGCAGGAGAGCGGGAGTTCTGGCAGCTCGTCCGGGCCCCCGACACCCCGCTGCAGCAAGGTGAGTCTGGCCGCCCCGGGGTGTGCCCCCCACCCCGGCCTGCCGCCATCCCTGGTGAGGACCGGAGGATGCAGCCAGGGGGAGGGCCCGGGGGGGCACTCAGTCCTCCACCTCCCACCCCTTGGCCCTCCGGTTCAGCAGGGAGCCCACCCCCACAGCCCACGTTCAGAAATGGGACACCAGCCACAACCGGTGTGGCTCAGTGGCTAGAGCATCGGCCTGCGGGTTGAAGGGTCCCAGTTTCGATTCCGGTCAAGGTCATGTACCTTGGTTGCGGGCACATCCCCAGTAGGGGGTGAGCAAGAGGCAGCTGATCGATGATTCTCTCTCATCGATGTTTCTGCCTCTCTATCCCTCTCTCTTCCTCTCTGTAAAAAATCAATAAAATATATTTTTAAAAAAAGAAAAGAGAATAAATGGGACACCAGCACTTAAAGGAGGTTAAATCATCAGACCAAAGCCTCGCCCACAGTGAGGGACACCCCTAGGTAACAGCTGAGTTCAGAGGGTCACGTGGCTCTGGACACCAAGCCCTGAGCAGATCTGACGGGCCCTGACCTTGACCTCAGCTGGAGGTCCAGAAGATGAGATGGGGCGGGGGGTGAGAGGGGTGGGGAAGGCCTTTGCCCCGTTAACACCCCTGCTCCACCTGTTTCGGCAGGAATTGCTGACTACATACCCCAGGATGGAGAGACCATCGAGCTGAGGCTGGTCCGCTGGTAGCCCCAGCTCAGCTCACCTCCCCGGCTGCCCGGAACAGTCTCCGCACCTCGACCCTCCTCCGTCCAGACCTCCCTGGCACAGGCACGTGCCTGGCCCTGCCGCCCCCTCGTGGGCACTCGGAGCGATGTTCCCGCATCAGCAGCCACCACCCCTGCAAGGCTCCTCAGCCGCTGCCCGCCTGGGAGCAGGGAGCCAGGCTCCCTCCCCGGGAGGCCTGTCCGCTGGGTCTGGCCCGGCCTGGCCCTGTGGGCACGCCACGAAGGGCACTCCTGGTCTGAAGGGCGTGCGGCATCTCAGACCCCTGAGCTCACAAAGTCCGCTGGCCGCTGGCAGTGTGAGGACCGCCCCTCCCCCCCGGTGCCACCCAGGGGCTGAGCCTCGAACCCAGCTCTCAGGTCCCTGTGAAGGAGGTGGCACAGCAGCCGGCGAGGACCCTGCAGGGCTGCTCAGAGCCCACCTCTGAAGCGATTAAAGTGTTGATTATGCACATGCGCCAGCGTCCTGATGCCTCATGGGAGCAGAGAAAGGGGAGGCGCCCCTGGAAGGGGAAGAGGGTCGGGAAGTACCCTGGGTCCTGGGGGAAACGGTGCTGGAAGTGGCAGCACTGATGACATTCAGGAGCATGTGCTCTGGACACTTCCTATCAGCGTTACTCTGAGGGTGCTGATGGATTTTGTGGTCAGCTCTGCTTAAAAAAAATATATATATATTTTATTTGATTTTTTACAGAGAGAAAGAGAGAGAGATAGAGAGTCAGAAACATCGATGAGAGAATCATCGATCAGCTGCCTCTTGCACACCGCATACTGGGGATGTGCCCGCAACCAAGGTACATGCCCTTGACCGGAATCGAACCTGGGACCCTTCAGTCCGCAGACCGACGCTCTATCCACTGAGCCAAACCGGTTTTGGCGTCAGCTCTGCTTTGCAGATAAAGAGGCTGGTGTCAAAGAAGGGAAGTGTCTCCCGCAGTGTCGGGAGATAGATCTGGGGGTGGGGGCACCCCCTCTTGGCTCCTTCACTCAATCACTGAAAACTGGGGGCTTCGATGACTGTTACGATCACACGGCAGAGACGACTCTGGAGCGCGGGCTCCCACTCCTGACTTCTCCCCAGTGCTGTCAGGACAGCACCCCGGGCCTCGGCCGCCAGAGTGAGGGGGCCCTGTCTCTCCGGGGGAAGGCCATGGGCTCTGGGCTGCCCTCTGGGAAGTGGGGTTCAGGTCAGGGAGACGCGCTGAACACCCCACCCCGCTGAGGCTAGGAAGGCTCTTGCCCTCGGAGGGGCCCTCTAATGGGGGTTCACAGTGACACACACACAGGGTCCTCGAAGCCATCCAGGGAACAGGTGCCTCTTCCTAGAACGCCAGTGTCAAACACGGAGAGTCTGGGCAGGTAGAGGAAGGAGGCGATTTGAAAATTCCTTTTAAGAAATAAATATGTTTGTATTGATTTCAGAGAGGGAGGGAGAGGGAGACAGAAACATCCATGGTGAGAGAGAATCATGGATCGGCTGCCTCCTGCACGCCCCTTTCTGCCATCTGGCCACCAGAGGGCGCCTCGGACCGTGCTAAATGGTCGGCTTTTGAGGTCTTGTTCCTCCAGGCCGGATATCACCATCAGAGGCAGGCTGCGGGGTGAGCCCCGTCCAGGGGGAGGGGCTGGGGTGAGCCCCGTCCAGGGGGAGGGGCTGGGGTGAGCCCTGTCCAGTGGGAGGGGCTGGGGGGAGCCCTGTCCAGGGGGAGGGGCTGGGGGGAGGCCTGTCCAGGGGGAGGGGCTGGGATGAGCCGGGGTCCTGCGGGGAGGAGCTTCCGCAGGGAAGGAAGCCCCGCGCCAGGAAAGATCCATCAGCTGCCTCCTGCACGCCCTGCAAGGCGCTCAGGGAGGCCAGGAGTTTGCAGCGGCTTGTCCTGCCCGGAGCATCCCTTGTTCGGAGGGGGGAAGGCTGGGACCCAGGAAGGGACAGGGGCTCAGTGGCAGCTGCGCCGCCTCCCAGCCAAGCCCGGGCTCCCTGTCCCGTTAGATAGAGCTGTGGGGGGGAGGGGGTGGACCCCAGGAAGCCAGTGATGAGTCAGCGCTGCGTGCCCAGGGGCTGGGGGTACCCGCTTCCGCAGCTGTGGTGGCCCCGGTGATTCAGCTTCCTCCGCCCGCCCCGAGGGGCCCGCCCCGGGCTGAGGGAGGAGGAGGTGCTGGGACTGGGGAAGGGGCGAAGGGGAGACCTTAGGGACCCCGTGTCCCAACGCTCCTGGATGCTGAGGTCCCACGGGTAACTGTGGCCAGAGATGGAAAAGAAAGGACCCTTTGCCCTAACCGGTGTGGCTCAGTGGATAGAGCGTCAGCCTGCGGACTGAAGGGTCCCAGGTTCGATTCCAGTCAAGAGCATGTACCCTGGTTGCCAGCACTTCCCCAGTAGGGGGTGTGCAGGAGGCAGCTGATCGATGATTCTCTCTCATTGATGTTTCTGACTCTATCCCTCTACCTTCCTCTCTGTAAAAAAAAAAAAAAAAAAAAAAAAATATATATATATATATATATATATATATATATATATATATATATATATTTAAAAAAAGAAAAAAGAAGCCGAAACCGGTTTGCTCAGTGGACAGAGCATCAGCCTGTGGACTGAAAGGTCCCAGATTCAATTCTGGTCAAGGACATGTACCTTGGTTGCGGGCACATCCCTAGTAGGGGGGTGTGCAGGAGTCAGCTGATGGATGATTCTCTCTCATCAATGTTTCTAACTCTCTATCCCTCTCCTTTCCTCTCTGTTAAAAAAAAAATCAATAAAATATATTTTTAAAAAATAAAAAAAAATTTTAAAGAGAAGACCCTAGAAGGAGTCCTGGGATGGGGACCCCTGGGAAGGTCCTAGAAGACGGGGTCTCCGGGGAAGCTGGGGGGCGGGGGGAGGATTTATCTCAGAAAGATACATCAGTTTTGGGGACTCTCCTAGCTCTGAGGAGGGGGGGGGAGACACGTACAGACAGGCTGACCACTTGAGCTGGGCGGGGAGGGCGAGCTGATTGATGGAGGGAATGCCAGGCCGGTCAAGGAGGGTGGCGAGGAGGCGGGGCGAGACAGCATCCCTCTTGGTTCCAGAGGGCGTGGCCTGTTAAGGGGGCGTGACTAGCTTTTCCGATGGGAACCGGGGCGTGGCCTATCCAGGGGCGGGGCCAGGGGCGGGGCCAGCTTCCCGGTGGGGCACGGGCGCTGCGGCGGGGGCGGGGCCAAGAGCACGGGGCCTTGCCCCGCGGGCTGGGCCCGGGCTGGAGCCGGGAGGGAGGGCGGGCGGGAGCTGCTGCCGGATTCACCGACGCAGCAGCTGGAGCCCGAGCCGCCGCGGAGCGGCCGGGAGGACAGTCCCTGCCGGAGGGAGCCGGAGTCGAGCCGAGTCGAGCTCACCGCCTGGCACCGGCCGCCGGAGCGCGGGCCTGGGCACTGCCGGAGGCGGGGAGCCGCGCCTCCTGGGCATCGCAGGACACCACGGGGTGCCCGCAGCCTGGATTGCTCCTGCTAGGCCTGGTCATGGCCTGAGCGCGCAGGAGAGCCCGGGATCCGGAGCGGAGAGGAAGAAGAACCAGGATTCCTCTCAGCCTGGCGTGGGCACGCTAGGTAGGGAGAAGAGGAGAGACTTCACCTGGCACAGGGCAGCGGTGCCCGGAGCTTACTAGGCCAGAGAGCCTGGCATCCCGGCAGCCACGACCTGGGGACTCTGCACAGCTGCTGGGCCTGGGCTGGCGGGCACGGGCCTGGCAGAGGAGTTCCTGCTCGCTCACCTGTCTGCAAGGGAGGCCGGGAGCTGAGAAGCCAGGACCTGGCCCGGCCCAGAGGGGGGCTCTCTGGTGGCTCTGGGGAGCCGGCCTCCTGCCCCAGCCCCGGCCCCGTGGGTACGGATGTGCCGCTGTCCTCGGGGGCACCATGACAGCAGGATGACCTCTGCGGAGACCGCGGCGGCGGCCGGCAGTCCTCGGGGGGCTGGGTCCCCCGCGGGGCCCCCTGACACCCCCGAGGCCCCCGGGCGGCCCGGCCGGGCCCGGGTGGCCACGGCAGCCCTGGTGTGGCTGCTGGCGGGGGCCGGCATGTCCAGCCTCAACAAGTGGATCTTCACGGTGCACGGCTTCGGGCGGCCCCTGCTGCTGTCGGCGCTGCACATGCTGGCGGCGGCGCTGGCGTGCCACCGGGGGGCCCGGCGCCCCATGCCCAGCGGCACCCGCTGCCAGGTGCTGCTGCTCAGCCTGACCTTCGGCACCTCCATGGCCTGCGGCAACGTGGGCCTGCGCGCGGTGCCCCTGGACCTGGCCCAGCTGGCCACCACCACCACGCCCCTCATCACGCTGGCCCTGTCGGCGCTGCTGCTGGGCCGGCGGCACCACCCGCTGCAGTTCGCCGCCATGGGCCCGCTCTGCCTGGGGGCGGCCTGCAGCCTGGCCGGGGAGCTCCGGGCGCCGCCCGCGGGCTGCGGCTTCCTGCTGGCCGCCACCTGCCTCCGCGGCCTCAAGTCCATCCAGCAGAGTGAGTGCGGGGGCCGCCGTGCGGGGAGGCGGGGGGCGGGGGGCAGGGGTGTGTGTGGTCTGGACGGCTGTCAGCCCATTTCACAGATGGAGCCACTGAGCCTCGCGGCTTCGGGAGAGGCAGAGACCGAGGAAACTCAGAAAGAGCCGACCGCTCAGAGCGGTTCCGGGGCCCAGACTTAGGCTGATGTTTCATAACGGCTGCCCTGGATCTGCATCCAGGGTTTTTCTTTTTTCCTCTTTTTAAAGAAAATAGATTGTATTGATTTTTTTACAGAGAGGAAGGGAGAGAGATAGTTAGAAACATCGATGAGAGAGAGTCATCGGTCAGCTGCCTCTTGCACAACCCCTACCGGGCATGCGCCCGCAACATGCTCTCGACCAGAATCGAGCCCGGGACCCTTCAGTCCGCAGGCCGACGCTCTATCCATTGAGCCAAACCGGTTTCGGCTGTGTGCAGGGTTTCTTGTCTCTATCTCGCTGGATCTCCCCACGCTGCTCTGATCAAGGAAGTCACTGTCTTGTCCCCAGTGGACAGCCTGAGGGGTTGCCCTGGGCCGTGTGGCCAGTGAGCAGCGGAGGGGAGATCTGAACCCCGGGCAGTCAGGCTCCGTGCTGTCCCGGAGGCAGCGTAAGGCTGTGACCCCCCAGGGGGGGACCTGACGCTGGGCACCCGGGTGAGAGGAAGCGGGCGAGGCCTCGCGCTGGGCTTTGGAAGGCCGGGGGTCTGGCTCAGGCAGGGAAGGGTTCATGGTCACTGAGAGCTGTGGTGTGACAGGCTGCGGGCTGGGAGTTGACCTTGAGTCGTCACAGCAACCACCACCTTCACTCCCATTTTATTTATTTTTTATTTTTATTTATTTATTTTTAAATATATTTTATTGATTTTTTTACAGAGAGGAAGGGAGAGTGATAGAGAGCTAGAAACATCGATGAGAGAGAAACATCGATCAGCTGCCTCCTGCACACCCCATACTGGGGATGTGCCCGCAACCAAGGTATATGCCCTTGACCGGAATCGAACCTGGGACCCTTGAGTCCACAGGCTGATGCTCTATCCACTGAGCCAAACCGATTTTAGCTATTTTATTTTATTTTTTAAAGACATATTTTATTGATTTTTTGCAGAGAGGAAGAGAGGGAGAGAGAGTAAAAAACGTCGATGAGAGAGAAACATCCATGCCGCCTCCTGCACACCCCCTACTGGGGATGTGCCCGCAACCAAGGAACAAGCCCTTGACCGGAATGGAACCTGGGACCCTTCGGTCCGCAGGCCGAAGCTCTATCCACTGAGCCACACCGGTCAGGGCCACTCCCATTTTATAGATGATGGAACTGAGACCAGAGAGGGTTGTGGTTGGCTCGGGGTTGCCTCACCTCTGCTGACAGGAGACAGGGAGGGTCTGAGCAGGGGGCGGTGGAGGCTCCAGGCGGAGACCCTGGGAACTCACCCCGCCTGAGGGTGGAGCCCGCCTTCCTGCTTGTCCCTCTGAGGGGCGGCTGAGTCACACCCCCACGCCCTCCGCCTCAGCCCAAGGGACCTGTGGGGGAGGCCGGGGCACCTGCTCGGGGCCGGGAGACCGCCCTCTGCTCACCGGGGGTGACCTTGGGCAGGTCTGGGTCCTGTCGGGGCCTCAGTTTCCCCAGGTTTGGTGGAGACGGGTTGGAAGCATCCGTGGGGCCTCTTGTCCTCCGTCCCTTCCCACCCTGGGGTCCTGCGAGAAGGAAGGGGCGCTCAAGGGCACTGGGCCGGGGCTGGGGCGACCTGCCGCCTCAGGAGGCTGCGGCCGGGACCGGCCCTGCCCTGGCATCCTCGGAGGCAGGCCCTGTCCCCGTCCGCTGGGCGCTGGGGCTGGGCCGGAACCCGTTCTATTTTTTGCCCTCAGGTTATATGAGAGCCGGTGCCGGACTCAGGCCCGCGTTCTGGGCATGAGGAGATGGCGGGAAACCTGACCCCCCGGGCACACCCACCTCCCCACCTCCCAGCCCTGAGGCTCACCCCACCCCACGCTCCTCACCCAGAAGGAGCGCCCGCCTGCAGAGGAGGTGCGGCCGGCTGGAACCGAGGCACCCAGGCACCGGGGGGTGGGTGCCTGGCATCAGGCCCCTGCTTGGCCTCTGCCAGCTCCCCCATCTCTCCCGTGCCCACTGCCTGGCCCCGGGGGTGGGCTGGGTGCTTGCTCCCGGCTCCCACAGCACCCTCCGTGCCCCCCATCAGGCCTCTGAGCAGCCACTTGGTTACCAGTCTGTGTCCCGTCAGACAGGAGCTCTGAGAGGCATGGGCTGGGTGGAGGCCTCTCCATGTCCCAGCACCTGGCCTGGGACCTTGAGTGGAATAGATATATATATATATATATATATATATATATATATATATATATATATGTATGTATGTATATATAATTGATTTTTTACAGAGAAGAAGGGAGAGGGAATAGAGAGTTAGAAACTTCGATCAGCTGCCTCTTGCACACCCCCCATGGGGGTTGTGCCCGCAACCAAGGTACATGCCCCTGACCAGAATCAAACCTGGGACCTTTCAGTCTGCAGGCCGACGCTCTATCCACTGAGCCACACCGGTTTCAGCGGTAGATGTACGAATGGCTCTGACCTCTGAGCTCTCGGCTGGTGGGGAGACCCCCTCAGAAACGGCGATGGCGATGGTAGGAGAGAAACTCCAGAGCACAGGTGGACACAGGCGTGGCCGGGGCAGTGACACGTAGGGGAGACCAGAGAAGGCTGCCTGAGGCAAGAGGCACGCAGTGATGACAATAACAATAATATAATAACAGGCCTGGCCGGCGGCGTGGCTTGGTGGTTGAGCATTGACCTATGAACCAGAAGGTCACGGTTTGATTCCCATGCCCGGGTTGCGGGCTCCATCCCCAGTGGGGGGTGTTCAGGAGGCAGCCCATCCATGATTCTCTCTCATCTCTCTCATCTATCTCTCCCTCTCTCTTCCTCTCAAAATAAGAAATAATAATAATGTTGGTAGCAAACACATGCTCTGCCCAGCTCTTCCCAGAGAAAGGGCATTGTGGGAGCGGGGAACAGGCTGGGCCAGGGCACGGCATCGGCCACAGGAGCGGAGGGCAGGGGGTGAGACAGCCGCATGGCAAGCAGTGACCACTGGGCGCCTCACGTGGCCCCGTTACGCAGGCGCAGACAAGGCGTGAGGAGAGGGTGGCCGGCCTGAGAGCGCTCAGCTAGCGAGGGAGGAAGGACGACGGGATAAGCCAGGGCCCGGCAGAGCAGGGTCTAGAGAACATGTCTGTCCGCATGCGGCAGAGCCTGGTGTGCCCAGATGCCGAAACAAAAATGTCTTTGGAGCCGAAACCGGTGTGGCTGAGTGGACAGAGCGTCGGCTGAGTGGACAGAGCGTCGGACTGAAGGGTCCCAGGTTCGATTCCGGTCAGAGGCATGTGCCTTGGTGGCGGACACATCCCCGGTGAGGAATGTGCAGGAGGCAGCTGATCGATGTTTCTCTCTCATCGATGTTTCTAGCTCTCTGTCCCTCTCTCTTCCTCTCTGTATAAAATAAATAAAATAGCCGAAACCAGTGTGGCTCAGTGGATAGAGCGTCGGCCTGCGGACTGAAAGGTCCCAGGTTCGATTCCGGTCGGGGGCATGTGCCTTGGTGGCGGGCACATCCCCAGTGGGGGTGTGCAGGAGGCAGCTAATAGATGATTCTCTCTCCTCGATGTTTCTAGCTCTCTGTCCCTCTCCCTTCCTCTCTGTAAAAAATCAATAAAATATATATTTTTAAAAAATGTCTTTGGAGAAGAGGAGGTTGGAATGGAAGGTTGTGGGGAAGGAGAGGGGTTGGCACTTTGGGGGTCACCCCTCTTTCCCTGGGCTGCAGGGAGGGAGGCAGAGGGCTGGGGGAGGTGCAGAGCAGGGGCGGAGGCTGGGTGAAGAGGCAGGACCCTCCCACCTGACTGTCTCGCACCTGAAATCCTAACCGCCTTCCGGCGATTGGGCCTGGAACAGGCCGGCCAGGGCAGCTCCTAACGGTGCTGCTATATTTGGAGCGAGCCAGCGAGCGAGCGAGCGAGCGGGCAGGAGGTATTCCAATTATCTGCTCATTTCTAGAAATGCTGTAGCCAGAGGGACGGTTGCCTAGAGAACAGAGCCAAAACACCAGAGTGAACTAGAGATTTCCTATTCGGAGCGTGGCCCGTGAGTAAGCGTCTGGGTGGCTGTTTGGAAAGGGTGTATCGGAAGATGCATGCAGGGAGGAGAACCCGGAACCGATTGCTCATCTCTCTCCCTGGAACGTGGACGGGTCCCCAAACCACCGCTGCCTCCGTGCAGATACTACCATGGTCTGACTTTGATGAGGGCCACCACTTCCTGTGTGAACTGGCGGGGTGACGACATGTGCACGCCTATCCACACATATCCACACGCATGTTCACGCATGCGCAAGGTGGTGGAACCCATTCTTTTTTCTTTAAAAAAATATATATTTTTTTATTGATTTAAGAGAGGAAGGGAGAGGGAGAGATAGAAACATCAATGATGAGAGGGAATCATTAGTGGGTTGCCTCCTGCATGCCCCACCCTGAGAATCGAGCCCACAACCTGGGCATGTGCCTTGACCAGGAATTGAACCTGGGACCTCCTGGTTCATAGGTCGATGCTCAGCCACTGAGCCACACCGGCCGGGCTCCCCGCTTTCTTTGCAAAGCCGGAAAGGTTTCCGCTCACTCCTGGATCCACCCCGACAAGCCCCAGATGCTGGTTGTAAGCAGCCACGTGCAAACAATGACTCTTCCCTTGTTCTCTCCTCATGCCCGCGGTCATATGTGGATGAAGCAATGAGTGGACCCCGCATTTGACTCCAGCAGTTTAATAGTTTACAATCCTGTTTTTCTTTTTTTAAGTATAAAGGCCATGTAGCTGTTAGTGGCAGACTGGGGCCTTCTGCAGCCTGCCCCTGCTGCGGTGGTAACACACTGTGAGGTAGTGGGTGTGATAAGGGCTGAGATCAGAAAGGCGGGTCAGGACCACTCGGTGCAGGGCCTTCTCACAGTGAAGAACCTCGGACAGCCCGGCCGGTGCTGCTCAGTGGTTGAGCATCGACCGATGAAGCAGGAGGCCACGGTTCGATTCCAGGTCAGGGCACAGGCCCGGGTTGTGGGCTCGATCCCCAATGTGGGGTGTGCAGGAGGCAGCTGATCTGTGATTCTTATCATTGATGTTTCTCTCCCTCTTCCTTCCTCTCTGAAATATATATATATATATATATATATATATATATATATATATATATATATGTATATATTTAAAATATATATATATTTAAAAAAAGAACCTAGGATATTGGGAAGCCCCTGGAGATATTTCTGAGAGCCACATTTTATGTTTATTGGTTATTTGGATATCGCTTGTGGGTTGTTGTTTTAGCCTAGGGGAAGTAGTTTGAAGTGGGCAACATTAGGCTCACTTATTTTATTTTTTTTACATTTACTGAGCACTTACCTTGAAAGGGCTTTATGCATGTTATCTACTGTAATCTTTATAAAAACCCCTGCGTGTTAGTTTTTTAAAAAAATTATTATTTTTTTTAAAAAAATATATATATATTTTATTTCAGAGAGGAAAGGAGAGAGATACAAACTTATCCCCACACTGGGGATCGAGCCCACAGCCCGGGCATGTGCCCTGACCGGGACTGAACGGAGACCTCCTGGTTCACAGGGCGACGCTCCACATGCCAGCTGGGCGGGCCGTCTTAGGTTTTATCATCACCTCACCTGCAGGCGGGAGGAAACCTCGGCCTGCAGAGGTCCAGTGCCAGGTCACAGCCAGCGAGGGCACCCCCCAGGCAGCGGGATTCTGGACTCGTGACTATCACCTTCCACTGACCCTGCCCGAGAGGCTGGGCAGGCTTGCTGGGGTCGGGCCGCGGGGGGCAGGCTGGGCAGGCGAAGCGGGGTTTCCTCCCGGCCGGCGCTGACCGTGCTGTCCGCCTGCAGGTGCCCTGCTGCAGGAGGAACGGCTGGACGCGGTCACCCTGCTCTACGCCACCTCGCTGCCCAGCTTCTGCCTGCTGGCCGGCGCCGCCCTGGTGCTGGAGGCCGGCGTGGCCCTGTCGCCCGCGCCCGCCGACGCCCGCCTCTGGGCCTGCATCCTGCTCAGCTGCCTCCTGTCCGTGCTTTACAACCTGGCCAGCTTCTCCCTGCTGGCCCTCACCTCCGCCCTCACCGTCCACGTCCTGGGCAACCTCACCGTCGTGGGCAACCTCGTGCTGTCCCGGCTCCTGTTCGGCAGCCACCTCAGCGCCCTCAGCTACGTGGGCATCGCGCTCACCCTCACGGGGATGTTCCTGTACCACAACTGCGAGGTCGTGGCCTCCTGGGCCGCCCGCTGGGGCGTCTGGCGGAGGGGGCAGCCTGGCAAGGGTCGTTGAGGCCCGCGAGAGCGCATGGGCCGTCTGGAACAGCCCCCCCGCAGCCTGGACCCGACCCTGGCCGGTGGCCGTGGGACAAGCCGAGAGCAGGCAGCCGCTGGGCACGGCCCCCTGGGGGGCTGGATGGGGGCCACCCAGCGAGACACCCCCCCCCCCCCCCGTCCCTGCTGCCTCCTCTCACCTCAGGCCCCGCTCACCACTGGATGGTGGGTCCACGCCTGGCACAGCCACTGTGCCTGTCAGAGTGATCATTATTGATATCGACGACGACACCCAGCACTGTGGCCAAACTCCGACCACCTCTCCGTTTCCTCCTCCTCCTCCTCCTCCTCCTCCTCCTCCGACGACGACGATGGCGATTCCCGGCGGTTGGAGCGGGGGAGGCAGCCGGGGGCCCCCCGGGCCGGGCTTCTTGCTGCTGGGCTCCCCGGGCGGGGGGGGGGGGGTCACCTGTGCCAACTCCCAGCAGCTGCTGTAGCCTGGTCCCCGGGCCCTCTGGTTTGGGGTCTTCCGTCCTCAAATAAACTATTTTTGCTTGTACCCCTGTGTCATTCCTCGGGGTGACGGCCCAGGAAATACAGTGGGACCTCGGTTCCCGAACTTCATTTGTTCCGGAAGGCTGTTCGAAAATCAAATCATTTTTGCCCTCCCCCTAGAAATAATGTAAATTCATCTGTTCCAGACCCCCTTCCCCCAATGATCCCGTTTAATTTTTTTAAAATGTTTTTATTGATTTTTTTTTAGAGAGAGGAAGGGAGAGGGATGGGAGAGAAACATTCATCAGCTGCCACCTGCACACCCCCCACTGGGGATGTGCCCGCAACCAAGGTACATGCCCTTGACCGGAATCGAACCTGGGACCCTTCAGTCCGCAGGCTGACGCTCTATCCACCAGTTGCAGGCTGGATCCCCGGCCCTGGTTGGGGCCCATGCGGGAGGCATCCAATCGATGTGTCTCTCTCACATTGATGTTTCTCTCTCTCCTCTCCTTCCACTCTCTCTAAAAATCAATGGGAAAATATCCTCAGGTGAGGATTAAAAACGAAACAAAAACCAAAACCGCAGGGACCCTGCCTGGATGAGGGGGAATCCTGCTCTGCCCGCCTCCCTGTGTCTCTTAGGGAGCTGGCCGCCCTTCCCTGAGCCTCAGTTTCTGTATCTGCAAAATGGGGGCGACGATCCCCAAGGAGAGGGTTCCAGGGAGAAGCCCGGTGGGCAGGGCCAGAGGAGGGGGTGATGGTGTCAGCTGGGTTGGCCCCCGTCTTGGGCTATCATCTCATCACCCACTTTCTCTGAGGCTCCAGGCCCAGCTGGAAAGTGGAGGCCAGCCCTGCTTGCTTAGTGAGGAGGAGCCAGACCAGGTGGGGCTGGAGGAATCATTCATGTCTCCGCACAGCCAGAACTCCCGCAGGCCCGCCCTGTTGGCCAGAGCGAGACAGGGCTGCGGAGCCCACAGCTGGGGTCGGGGGCAGGGAAGGCCTGGGCGTCCCCTGGCCCAGGAAGGACAGACGTGGGGTTTCCCGGCCCTGCCTCCACCCAGGCTGGCCTCGCAGAGGGAAGTGGGCCCCGGCTGAGTCACTCACCACCCTCCCTCCCTGTGACTCAGAGACGCCCAGGCCCAGCCCTGTCCTGGTGTCGCTCAGCACCTCCGGTGTCCAATCTGAAGCTTGGCGAGTCGGAACAAAGGATGGATGGCTCTGGGTGGGCAGAGCCTCCTCGGGACTCAGGCAGTTCTCCCCCACCTCCCGCCTGCTCTGCCCCAGGCCACCCGAGTTAAAGGTCGCCCGCAGCTCCCTGCGCGTCTGAAGGCCAGGCCCTGTGCACATTCCGTTCTCAGCGCTGGTTTCCCCCCACCCCACCCTCCTCCACCGGGCCGGGCTGGGGAAGGCGGAGGCCACTGTCCTCCTCACTGCCATCTCCCCAGCACGGACTTGGATGAAGCAGCCAGTGAGACCATTAGCCAAGAGCAGGGGCCAGAGCCGGTTCCAATCCCAGCTCTGGCACGTCATAAGCTGGGCGGCCCTGGGCCGGGGCCTGCCCCTCCGGTGCCTCTGTTTGAAGTGGGGGCAGCCACAGACCCTCACCCCATCTCCCTCCGGGAGGCTCCAAGGGCTTAGCGACAGAGTCTGGGACCCAACAGGCCTTCGAGGAAAGTCAGGAGACGGGCTCACTCCAGATGCTGCCGTCCAGTTCCTCCCCCGGCTTCTCAGGCTGCCCACCCCCAGCCGTCCGTGCACAGGGCGGGCCCCAGGGCTGCGGAGCGGGCACCCCTCTCCTGCCACCGTGCCCTGCCTCGGAGGACGCCGGGGAAGCTGGCTCGGCGCTGGGCATCCTGCCATTGTGAGTCCAGAACAAAGCTGCGGCCTTGTCTCAGCCTCAGCTGCGGGGGCCCCTCCCGCCCTCCCCTCGGGGCCCTCGGTGGCCATTCCGGGGGCCAGGGCAGACAAGGACCCTAAGCTCACGCTCTCCCCGCCCGCATGCAGACACTTCCTGGGAACACCCCCAAACGCCACGGAGGGCCCCAGAGGTTCTGAGAGCAGGCAAGAGCCACGCTGCTGGAGAAACATTTCCTGGCGGTGGCCCCTCAGGGCGGGCTGCGCCCCGGTGGAGGAGTCATGGACGGGGCAGGGAGCCGGGGAAGAGCTATGGCTGCCGTCCGGGTGAGCAGGGCACGGGGGCAGTGTCTTGGGTCCAGCTCATAGCAGCATCGGGGCAACAAATTATCCCCAAACATTATGCCTGAAAGCATTATGGCTTTAGGACAGAGAGAATGAGGGAAATGATTCTTTCTTTTCCATCTGGCCCTGCCCCCCTCCCCACCCTCCCCACGGTAAGCCTCAGGCTGAAGTTGAAACTTGCAACTCTCGGGGATCCATTTCTCAAGCTCCCGCCGCTCCAGACCTCCCTGACTCTGCAGCTTTGAAGCCCCTTCATTCATTCTCTAGGCTTCCAGCTAGAACCCAGGGCCCTCCTCGCCTTACTCTGCCGCATGCATTCTGCGAAGGGATCTGCTCTGGGCCCAGTGACCAAGATGAAGAGAAAAAAGGACGTGGCGCCGCGGCTGCGGGCGGGGTGTGGGTCTGCGGCTCCAGCCTCTGGGCCAGGCCTGGGAGAGGAGCCGGGCGGCTGGCAGCCTGCTCCCGCCGGGCCCTAGAGAAACGAATGCCGCTTCCGGCGAAGGCTGGTGGGGGGCGCCAGGGCGCTTTCAGACCTCGTGTACAACGGCATTGAAAGAAAAAGTTTAAAAAACATGTTATATGGTGGAACGCTCTTTGAAAATTATCACACGCATCAATCAAACCCAGAACACCGGAGCAGGGCCTGTGGTTGAAGGTGGGAGGGGCGCTGGCCCGGAGTCCCTGGGGTTCCCAGAGCACATGGCCGGTCCCTTCGCCAGCAGGGTCAGCGAGGCGGCGCCATGACGCTTAAGGCCCTTGGGTTTGAAAGAACGAGGTGGACACCGGCGGCACTCCGGCCTGGCCCAGCTGATTCCAGCCTCGCTTTGGGCGCCGGCCCATTTGACCCAGCACCACCTGCCTTCCTCACTCTCCCCTCTGGCCGGTAGCCGTGACCTGTCACTCCTGATCTGCACCATTTCACACTTAGTTTCATCTTTAAAGAGGCGGATCACAAGCAGAGAGCTCCGGCACGCTTCCTTTTTTATTGCTCCGGAAAAAGGCAGCGCCTGTGTTTTTCTGCAGCACATCGCCTGTGTGTGAGTTCAGATCTCAGCGCGGGATGGAGGGCAGATCTGCACGGCCCTCACTCGGTAGGGGGCGGGGCCGGAGGCAGGGCTCACAGTGGAATCATTAAACGGGCCTCCTCCTCGTAGACGTCGGGGATGCTCCCCAGCGGGGAGCTGACCATGCGCACGGTGTTCTCGCCGAACAGCTGCAACTCGTAGCGGATGAGCTGCTCCCAGAAGCCGCTGTTGGGCCGGATGATGGGCCGGCAGGACCGGGCCCAGGCGTGGGCGTCCCGCAGGGACATGGCGTGGTACTTCATGAGGTAGGCCAGGCACAGGGCGGCCGAGCGGCTCACGCCGGCGACGCAGTGCAGCAGCGTGCGGCCCTGCCTGGCCTCCACGGCGTGGATGTGGTCGGCGACGGGGTCGAAGAAGTCGCAGAGGGGCGCCGTGGGCGTGTCAGCCACAGGCACCTGCACGTACTGGACGTCCTCGTACAGGGCGCTCGCCACCTCCGTCGAGACGTTGACGACCGAGGTGATGCCGCTCCGGGAAAGCAGTTGCTTGTCGTTGGCGGCCGCCCCGTTGCTGATATACAGGCTGCGGGTGATCTGCGAGAGGCCGCTGACCGAGGGCTGCGGGAACCGGAGCGGGGGGCCCCCTGGGAGTGTGGTCATCGGGCCGGTGGGTCAGCGGCCGGTGAGCCAGACAGGCCGCATCTTTCCGCTAGGCTGTGCCCACGGAAAACTGCCAGGAGGGAGAGGATACTTAGAGGGCAGGACCCCCTCGGGGCCAGCGGGCCAACCCCAGGGGATTTCTGGGAAATGGATGGATGGGCCTATAGCAGGATTCCCCCAGGGGTTCCTGGGAACTTATTAAAAACGCAGAGCCCCAAGCTGTTCCTCAAACCCACGGAGCAGGATCTGGGGTGCGGAGTGGGAGTCTGTCTGTTCAGCAAGCCTCCAGGAGACCTCATGTGCAACGCCCTGAGCCTGGCACTTCCCCGCTGGGGCCCCCCATTTTTAGTTGGGGTGACTTGGGTCCTGCAGCTGAGCCTCGGCCTAGCTCCCCACTAGGCTCCCAAAGCCCCCTTCTCTGTCCTCATCAATATCCTCTGTTCTCCAGCCCCCTACCGGGAACCACCCCCACGGCTCCCTCCTCTTCCGACTTTACGGCCAAACCACGAGCCTCTGAACCAGGGACATGGAGCCAGAGCCCACTGTGCTAGGAGCCACTGGTTGTATCAAGAGAGAGGAGGGTCTTAGCTTCCCTTCTCTAAGAACCAGCTCTTTTTAAAAAAGTATGTGTGTGTGTAAAATTGATTTCAGAGAGGGAGAGGGAGAGAGAGAAAAACATTGATGATGAGAAGAATCATTGATCGGTCTCATGCACACCTCTACTGGGGATCGAACTCACAACCCGAACATGTGCCCTTGACAGCAATCAAACTCAGAACCTTTCAGTCCACAGGTTGATGCTCTAGCTACTGAGCCATACCAGCCAGGGCGAGAACCTTCTCTTTGAAGAGATAAAATGTGCCCATGCGCAACAGTCCTACGTCATTGCCACACTCCTGCACATCGCCTCTGAGGACGGCCTGGGGAAGAGAGTCGCTGGAAGCTTCCTGGAAGCCAGCATAAGGGCACACTGTACCCTCCCCGCAACACCCCAGAGGCAAGTGCAGAGCGGCAGAGGGGCTTCGGGTAGACAGCCACGCCACAGTGCCATGGGCCCCAAAGCAGGGCAGAACCCCAGCTTCCGCTGAGAAATCCAGGTCCCGTACTCTCTCAGTCGTGAACAAGGCTGTAAAAATAGCACATCCCCACACGTTTCACTGAAACAGGAACATTCGGATCTAGAGCACACCTCTCGAGCCAAACGGCAGTCTTCATCCGGCACAGACATACAGCGAGCTGAAGCTCTACTCCCCTGCTCAGTGTATTTCAGTGGCTGTCTGCTGTCTACTGCCAGGAGGAGATGGAGTCCCTCAGCTTAGCGGTCAAGGCTATTTACACCCGGCTGCTACCCACCTCTCCGGCCCCGTTAGCCTTCCCTGTGTCCTGAAGGCCCTCTGCAGGCCTAAGCCACTGGCAGTTCCATGTGGCCATCTGCTCCTGTCTGGCCTTTGCTGCTCGCAGTCCCTTTTTAATATATATATATATATATATATATATATATATATATATATATATATATATGTATATATATATATATATAAAATTGATTTTTTACAGAGAGGAAGAGAGAGGGATAGAGAGTTAGAAACATCGATGAGAGAGAATCATCAATCAGCTGCCTCTTGCACACCCCCTACTGGGGATGTGCCCGCAACCAAGGTACATGCCCTTGACCGGAATCGAACCTGGCACCCTTGAGTCGACAGGCCGACGCTCTATCCACTGAGCCAAACGGGTTTTGGCTCAGACCCTTTCCTTACAAGCTGGTGGGATCCCCCTCTGTGACATCCAGCAGAGGACCGGTGAGCCTGCAGTCTTAGCCAAGGGTCACTCCTCCCCTGTTTGATCGAGTCCCTGCTCCCGGCTTTCTGAGCCCTAAGGGCGCTCTCTCCTTCCGGAGCCTCCCTGGAGACCTGGCTTTGCTACGACCTGGGAGTTCTATTGGGACGAGTCACTGTGTCTCTCGTCACTCCTACCGCTCTGTCTCCACCAGGAGGCGCCTGATAAATATTTGGAACGGAGGGAATGTGTCCAACAGCTAGGACTCTTCCTTCTGAGGAATCTGGCAAAGATGAGTTCTCTGGCTGTGCTTCTCTAGAGTTTTGGGGAGGGGGCGGGTGGAAGGAGTGTGGTTCCTAGGCCGTTGGAGAGGAAGTTCAAAGGCTGTACAGGCAAGTCCTACCTGCCAAACCGAATGCACCAGGCTCACCGCAGGGATGGGGTTGTTGGTTCCAAAGATCACGTGAGGGCGGGGGGGGGGGGGAAGCCCCCCTCTCCCAGCCCAGCCGGCAGCCTAAATGTTCCGGGTCCGCCTCATCCAAAAACCCAGAGAGCAGTGGTCTCAGTAGGTGTGGGGGAAAGAGGGCAAACACCGCGAGGCGCATGTTAACGCTGAGATAGTATAAATGAGGGACGAAGGTCGCGGGTTGGCCGGAGGGAGGCGCCACTTCCAGGGTAGAGCCAGACAGGTTTCTTAGGAAGCTGGCGCAGCAATGGGCTTCCTATCTGCTTGGGTATCAAGACCCTAATGGTCTCACGTCAGAGCGCAGGTTCGTTCAGAAAGCAACGGCGCCCGAAGCCTCGGACGGAGGTCTCGAGGAAAGAAAACCGATCACCGAGGGCTCCTCGCTCCCGCCCCGGGGAGCCCCGATTCCCGGAGGCCCAGCGCTCAGCGGCTTCCATAGAAATGGCCCCTCATCCGGGAAGAAATCCGCCATGCCGCGTCTTCGGAGACACCACGGCCTCGCCTCCCCAGCCCTGGAGCTGCCCCGCCCGGACTCACCCGGTTACCCGCCCCGCGATCACGCGGGGACCAAGTCGAAAAGTAGGGTCCACTCGGCCCGCGCAGCCCGCTCCAGCGGCCTAGCTCGTCCCCATGGCAACGCACCCGCTCCCGCTACGGCAGCCGCCGAGGGACAATCCCGCCAGGCCCGCTGCCTGCCGGGTACCGCGTGCTTCCGGTCCTCCCGGCCCCGCCCCCTCCGTCGTTTCCGGGGCAACGAGCCCTCCTCGGCGCACTGCGCCTGCGCGGGGGCTCACTCCACGTCCGCGCGCGCCCCGGGAGCATGGCTGACAGCCAGCCTCCTCCCCCTGAGGCGTCCCCGGGCGCGGAGAACGAGGCGGCACAGCAGCACAGGCCCTCGGTCTCCTGGAACTTAGCCTCGTCCAGCACCGGCGCGGCCGCCTCCAAGAAGACCGCGGGCGCGTACCCCGCCTCGGCCGCGTTCCAGCGCCACAGGCTCATCAGCCGCCCCGATATCAACCTCGGGGCCCAGCCGCAGATCTGTTTCCTGCGGCCGCGGACCTCGCAGCCGCTCGTGCTCTTCAGGTGCGGGCGGCCCGGGTGTTCGGAGCGGGTGTCAGACACCAAGGGGGGGGGCCCTGGAGGGAGCCTGATCGCCCTCAGACCCCCGCCCCCTCAGTGGCCCCGGGCCCCGCGCTGTCACTCCCAGAGCCTGGCTCTTTTTTTAATTTAATTTAATTTTTTTTTTTTTTTTTTTTTTAAATATATTTTATTGATTTTGTACAGAGAGGAAGGGAGAGAGATAGAGAGCTAGAAACATCGACGAGAGAGAGTCATCGATCAGCCGCCTCTTGCACACCCGCCACTGGGGATATGCCCGCAGCCAAGGTACATGCCCTTGACCGGAATCGAACCCGGGTCCCTCAGTCCCCAAGCCGACGCTCTATCCATTGAGCCAAACCGGTCTCGGCTAATTTAATTTAATTTTTTATTGATTTTTTACAGAGAGGAAGGGAGAGAGATAGAGAGTTAGAAACATCGATGAGAGAAACATCGATCAGCTGCCTACGGCACCCCCCCCACTGGGGATGTGCCCGCAATCGAGGTACATGCCCTTGACCGGAATCGAACCTGGGACTCTTGAGTCACCTTACCCTAAGGTCTAGGCTCTGGAGCAAGTGCCCCCACCTCAGCGCCCCTCACATTCAGCCCTTCGAGCCCTACCCTACAGCTTTTGCTCCTCTTCTCAAAGACCCCCCCACTTTCCATCTCCTCCTGCATTTTCTCCTTAAGATGGCCGCTCCGGCAGACAGTCCACTCTCCTGTGGACTGCTCTTTCTACATCCTTCTCGGGATGGCTGAGGAAATCTCAGCAGTCAAGAAACTACCCCTTCAGCGCACATTTTTCCACGAGAAGAAAGCTAGGCCTCCCTTGCTTCGCTGACAGGAAACCTGGGGAGGCCTCAGCCATCTTAACATGCTCCCGCCTTCCTCTGCCCCCTCCAGCTTAATGAATTCCAGCGAAGCAGCCGTGACCAAATTTTTACCCAAGAGCCACTTGTCTCGGGTGATTATTCGTGACAACCTCAGTGCACAGCGAATGTATGAAATGGAGGTAAAGTCCTCACGAGCTTTTATCAGAGGGTGTTAGTGGCTTGACCCATGTCCATTTTACTCTCCCTGATTCCTTGGGGGGGGGGGGGCATGTTTGCCAGGTCTTAGAGGGGCTGGGGAGTCTCATGCAAGTCCCATGTTCTGGAGGAGACTGGAACTCGGGGTGACTGACTTGCCCAGGGTGTCACCACTGTTCCTGTGCTGATGGCGCCTGGGGAAAGGATTTCATGTGCTGGATCTTGTGGCCGATCAGCCAGGAATTGAGCTGCTGCCTTCCTGACTCTGCTCCTCTTCTCAAAGACCCCCCACTTTCCATCTCCTCCTGCATTTGAGCTTCCCTCTGTGTTCCAGGAGGATGGGCTCATGGGATTCTGACGTTGGAGAGAGAGGGAGGCTTAAGAGAGAGGAGAGGCCTGGGTGTTTCCTCCAGCTTTCAGTGACCTGCGATCGTAGAAATAGGATGACCTCTTGTCTGGTTCTGTTTCAACATGCCCAACACTTCCCCAGCCTTCAATACCCAACCCCCCAATTTTTATCGCAACCCTCCATGGGAATTTTCTTGCTATCTCCCTTATTTGAACTCTGTTTTGTTTTTTGTTTTTTAAATATATTTTATTGATATTTTACAGAGAGGGATAGAGAGTTAGAAACATCGATGAGAGAGAAACTGATCAGCTGCCTCCTGCACACCTCCTACCTGGGATGTGCCTGCAACCAAGGTACATGCCCTTGCCCGGAATCGAACCTGGGATCCTGGAGTCCGTAGGCCGATGCTCTATCCACTGAGCCAAGCCTGGTTAGGTCTGAACTCCGTTTGTTTTGTTTTTTTTTAAAGGGATGCATCACTGTCTGCCTTGCTTAGAAATATCTGGGCTTGTGTCCCATCTTACTGACTGTGTTGTAATTTCTGTGAAGATATGCAGCTGATTTTTCTTTGTGTCCTCTCCGCAGCCGGCTCATTGGGGTAAATAAATGAGCAGGTGAGGTAGAGGATGTGCCTTCCCAGAGCTTATGGTCATGGGGACAGGACAAAAAGGATATACTAGAAGAAATAACTAGAGTTCAAAGTGATGTGGGGAATGTCACCTTACAATGTGTGGGAAGCACTGAGTGAGTACTGGGGACAGTAATAGGAGCTAAGGAACAGGGAGAGGAGGGAACAAGACACACCCATTCTCCACACCATCCCCACCTCTTTCTTACCAGAGGTGTTAAGGTCAAAGTCAGGGTCTAAGGCTGCAGACTCTCAGAAGGTGCCATTGAATTTATCTAGCTCCGTGGTCAGTAAACTGCGACTCGCCAGCCACATGTGGCTCTTTGGCCCCTTGAGTGTGGCTCTTCCACAAAATACCACGGCCTGGGCGAGTCTATTTTGAAGAAGTGGCGTTAGAAGAAGTTTAAGTTTAAAAAATGTGGCTCTCCAAAGACATTTCAGTCCTTGTCCTGTTGGTATTTGGCTCTGTTGACGAATGAGTTTACCGACCACTAATCAGGCTCAACGCCCACATTTTACAAACAGGGAAATAGGCTGGCATATTGTCACCCTCACTCATAGCAGCAGCACAGATGCCTCTCTCGTTAGTTGTTTCTTCATCCTAACCTCATTTGTTTTTCTGTAAGATGAAAACTGTCGATAAGACCAAGAAAAAGATGAGCCACTTGTATGACCACCTGAAAAAAAAGTTCTTGGTGGACCAGTTCAGAAAGCTGGGGCGCTGGAAACGGGAATTCCTGAGTGTCCGGCAGTACCTGGACAGTATGCGTGCACGCCAGGTTGATTCCATCCTAAGAGGAAAATCCAGCCGCACTACTCAAAATAGAAGCTCCACCGCCTCAGGGTCACAGGCACTCTAGACTGACGGGGAGAAGACGTAGAAGCCAGCCAGCCACAGGAGGAGGAGACGTAGAAGCCAGCCAGCCAACACCATCGTAGAACAATAAACACCAGCGGACAGTGGAGCACAAACCCCCTGGCACTCCTGCTGTTCCTTTCCCTGCCTCGTTCCCTCTGTCCTGATGAAGGAGATCCTGATGGTCCCCTAGCTGCCTGCGTGGAGGAGGCTTAATCAAGCCAGCATGCGTGGTTAAGGCAAAGATGGACCTTCTGTACCCACGTGTCTGAGGTGCAATGCCAGGCCAGGTGCCCTGGGCAGTGATGCCTTAGAAAGGAGGGGCTCAGGAATGCCTAGCGTTTGTTCCGATGATGAGGAGGTCAGGATGGCTGCAGGCTCCTCCCTGGCCCAGGCCCTAGTTTGGGCTTATGGCAGGAGGCAACCAATCGACGTGTTTCTCTCACATCGATGTTTCTGTCTCTTCCTCTCTCTTCCAATCTCCCTAAAAATCAATGGAAAAGTATTCTCAGATGAGGATTAAAAAGTAAAATCAAGAGGAGGTGGGAGCCAGTTGGCTTGAAAAAACCCAAGGAAACGGGGGTCAAACTCAAACTCATTATGGGAGAAGGTAGGAGGAAGAACAGGCAACTAAAATGGGTTAATGAGTCTATGGATGCCTTGTTATTTGTGTGCCCTACGCATATTTTACAACATTCTTTGGTATCTGCCAGAATATAATAAACAGACCCCCACCACCTGGGGCAGGGAGGGGAGATAACCGCTCCAACCCATTGCCCTACCTCTCTACACTCAAGTTTGCAAAGTAGAGGTAACATTTTTCCCAGACAGGAAACAGTAAGGCTTTTCTCTAACGTTTCTGAACTCAGTATCTGAGGTCATCTAGGACTTGCAGTGTGGATGTTGGCAACACAGAATAGAGCCCTCCTGATTCTGGTAGTTAGATTCTGGCCCTCACAGAGCTTCCAGCCGGATATTCTCAAAGGGGCCAGAGGTAATACGGATCTAATAGCATAACAGCACGTGAAACCTATACCAACTCATTTCAGAATGTCCACAAGAGGGCACTATTGCAACACCTTCCTGCAGGGTGAGAGCCCTCTAGGTCTATTAATTGGGTTTGCAGAGTGCAGCTGACCTGGGATGTGAACAGCAACCTTCCTTCCAAACTTGTGCTCTTGGCTACATGCTGCCTATCTCCCTCTTAGTTCATGCATCTCCTCTCCTGGGTAAAATGAGACAAACCAGCATGTACCTTAGTGTCTATGGTTGGCTACAAGCTTATAAGAGAGCCTGTCTGGTTTTTGAATGAAGACCAATGGGAGCTGGAAGGACTGGGTTCTTATCCAGTTGTTGGCAATGTGACCTTGGGCTCAGGCATATGGGGACAGGGTTCCTGCCATCTCACAGGGCTACCCAGAACCATCCAGCCCACAAGGGACTTTACTTCTTTCCTGCCCCTAAGGTCCTCAGGGACAGCCTGGCGGCTAGTTTTCCAATGGGGTAGCATTTGACAGTTTAAAAGAGAAAACTCTGCCCTAGCCAGTTTGGCTCAGTGGGTAGACCGTTGGCCTGCTGACTGAATGGTCCCGGGTTCGATTCTGGTCAAGGGCATGTACCTCTGTTGCAGTCTCTCCCTGGCCTAGCCCCGGGCACGCCATGTGCAGAAGGCCAACCAATCCATGTGTTTCTCTCACGATATTTTTCTCTAGTCTTTCCCTCTCTCTTCCACTCTCTCTAAAAATCAATAGAAAAACATCTTCAGGTGAGGATAATTTTTTTTTTTTTTTAAATATGCCCTAACTGGCTCAGTGGATAGAGCATCGGCCTGCGGACTGAAGGGTCCCAGGTTCGATTCTGGTCAAGGGCATGTACCTTGGTTGCAGGCACATCCCCAGTAGGGGGTGTGCAGGAGGCAGCTGATCGATGTTTTTCTCTCATTGATGTTTCTAACTCTCTATCCCTCTCCCTTCCTCTCTGTAAAAAATAAAATAAAAATAAATAAAATATATTAAAGTGAAAAATCTCCCTCGTGCCCAGGAGATCCGCACTCTGTAGGATAAATGGCATTCATTCCTCAGGGTGTGCTGAGCCCTGTGTCACTTCCCAGGCAACGTGCTCTCTCCTGAGTTAGCACTTGGTATGTGCTGGCGCCTTTGCCTTGAGTGCCCTCCCACAGCCTGGCCTCCCAGCTTCGTGCAAACCATGTCCTTTCTGTGACGCCCTGTCACCCACCCTGGCAGGTTACTTAGGCCTGCCATGCTTTTATTGCAGGAGTCAAAACACATCATTAACATTCAGTTGCCACTTGGCTTCCCCTCCCCTTGGGGGTTGCAAACACCTCCAGCACAAACATAACAGGCCCGAGAGTGCTCTTTCTGTCTGAGGTCCCTGGAGGGCCTCAGGAGACTACTCATCAGCTTTCCAACCGTGTCTCTCCGCAGGGTCCTGGTCTCCACTGATTGGTCCTGCTGGGGAGGGGTCATCAGTCACTGCCGCTGGTGCTGATGTCACCAGGGCAGGCTCCGCCCGATTCTGCTGCTTTCCTGGGCTTGGGGCTGAACCAGCGGAGGCCTAGATGCCTGGCAGGACACCCCCGGAGACTTAAAGGGGGTGTCCTGCCAGGGCTTTAGGTAAGCCCGTTAGGCCCCGGAGACTCTCTGCACCTGGCCCCGCCTTCCTGTTCTGCTCACGCCTCGCTAACTGGCGGCTACACCTGCACAGGTAATCTTATCAGGAGCAAAGATCAAGAATTTAGGCTTAGCCGAAACCGGTTTGGCTCAGTGGATAGAGCGTCGGCCTGCGGACTGGATTCCGGAAAAGGGCATGTACCTTGGTTGCCGGCACATCCCCAGTAGGGGGTGTGCAGGAGGCAGCTGGTCGATGATTCTCTCATCGATGTTTCTAACTCTACATCCCTTTCTCTTCCTCTTTGTAAAAAATCAATAAAATATATATTTTTAAAAAAGAATAAACTCTGGGGAAGGGGAAGGTAAGTCTGGTGCGATGAGCAGAGGGCCGCCTTCCTGCCCACAGGTCAACCTTCCCAGTCCTATTTCTGATTATTCGTGGTAACCATTGGCCTTTCCCTTCAGGATAGGCCCTTTAACATCGGGGATGTGTAACCTTTCTAGGATCGTAGACTCCTTTGGAAAAGCCATGAAAACTATGGACCTTATTTCCAGAAAAAATGCACAGACAGAGAAAACCCTGCAGGCTACTGAGGAGGCCTCCCGGCCCGTCAGCCTGGTTCCCCAGGGATGTGAAGGCCCAAGTGAAGAATCCGCTTTCAGACAAAACTTTCTGTCTGTCTTTACAGAAAGCCAGAGCTATGTCGCCACGTGCTGTGCCCTGGCATGAGCCAGAGGCCGGCTGACCAGGAGGTGGCAAGGGCAGCGGCGGCTTCGGGTCACTGAGCCTGGTCGATGCGGGAAGGACCCTCAGACAGGTAATGGGGACCCACAGACAGGTAATGGGGGCGGGAGGCGTCCTCGGCTTTTGGCGTCAGCTGGTCGTCTGTGCTTCGGGCACACTTACTGGTTTCTGGGCGCGGCACCTGCTCCCTGCCTATCCCTCACCCCTGTGTTTCGGGAGCGAACGCATCCGCGACAGCCAGCCAGAGGGCTCCGCATCCATCCATCGCTGTTACCCCAGAACCTGGCACGGGCTGGGGCGCAGGCAGGGATGGTGGCTCGGAGCTCACCGTCCCTCCCCCGAAGCCCGCCCACCAAGCTCTCGCCCCACAGGTGTTCCCAGGGCGCCTTCCAAGTGCCAGGCTCCGATGCCAGAGAGGGATCGGGGTCCGCAGCCAGCGGGCCAGGTGCGGGGGTGGCACGGACCGCGGCGGGCCCCGCGCACGCCACCGCCACCGCCACCTCCTGCGCCGCGCGCCCGCCAGGCGCCGCCCCGCCCGCGCCGGCCTCCGCCTCCGCCGCTCCCAACCCCCGCCCGCCCCGCCGGCCGCGCTCCGCGCTCCGCGCTCGGGTCGCCGGCTCGATGGGGAAAGCGGCCGCTCTGTGCCGAGGCGGCGGCTGCTACGGCCGCTTCCGCCGGTTGTCGTCGCTGTCCACCGTTGTTCCCTGCCTGTCCTGCCACACGGCGGCACCGAGCATGAGCGCTCCCACGCCCGACTCCAGACTGGAGCCTCAGCCCCAGCCTCAGCCCCAGCCTCAGCCCCAGACTCAACCTCAGCCCCAGCCTCAGCCTCAACCTCAGCACCAGGCCCAGCCTCAGCCCCAGCCCCAGCCTCAGCCTCAGCCTCAGCACCAGGCCCAGCCCATGCCGGTGCCGCCAGAGTGGAAGACGGTGCCAGAACAGGTGCTGGGGCCGGCGTGGGAGCCAGTGCCAAGATCGAAGCCCGAGCCCCAGAAGACGCCCGAGCCCCAAAAGACTCCCCAGCCCCAGAAGACACCTGAGCCCCGGAAGACTTCTTTGCCGAGACCAGGGCACAAACCGGAATTGGAACTGCTGCCGAGGCTGGGGCCGGAGTCAAGGACCCGGAAAGAGTTTGGCCCAAGTGTAGGGGAAGGACACCCCACCAAGGCTTCCTCTGGACGGCCGAAGGCGCCCGTGGTGGGGAGCACGCCCTTTACCAGGCCCGTGTCCAAGCCCCCAGCTCTTCCGCGGCCAGAACAGCAGAGGGTGTCTTATGGGGTCCCACTGGCAGGGACTGGCAGTACCTCCACCCCCCCGAGGCTGGACAGCTTCAAGGGCTGGCTCCTCAAGTGGGCCAGCTTCCTGAAGGGCTACCAGTGGCGCTGGTTTGTGCTCAGGAACGGCCTGCTGTCGTACTACAGGTAGGACAGGCTCTCTGTTTGCAGGAGGGTGACGCCGCCATCATGGAATATCTGGGAACATGCCCTCAAGCGGAAGTGATGCTTTTAGCTAACCTCCTAGGATTGGGGGCCCTGACCTCTGGCAAGCCAAGCGGGTTTGGGTATGAGCAGGGAGATGACGGGAGGGAGTGATCTAGGGCCCCAGGGCCCTTCTGGTCTTGGCAGTTGTGGGACCTGGGGCAGCTAGTCAGAGTCAGCCCCCCAAAGTCCTACATTCAGGAGCGAAGATCGTTGTACTAGGGAATGAGGGGGACAGTAACCTTGTTCAGTCCAATCCTTGGGACCCACCTCTGGTGGTCACTCAATTTCCCACCTTTCCGGATGCCTGCTATTAATAGTTCCCAGACCATGGGCCAGGCACAGCAGACTCACAGACGCATGAGACACAGCTCCAGCCCTTCCGGAGCCCATCCGGGCATCCTGGGAGGATCCCGGAAGCATTCTGCTGTGGTCTTTCTCATCCAGAAGTCAAGTGGGGTTCAGTTGTTCAGTGGTGGTGTGGCTCCCCTGTCTGCCACCAAAATGGTTGGAAAGAGAAAGGCTTGCTCTCCTCTCTTACCGGCTGCTGCCTCTGCATGTTTCCTGGCGCTGGCTGGTTTAAATTTTGAGATCTCAGATCACTCCACATACCATTGAGTGAGCATCGGATTTCCTCGAAGGGTTTGTTGGAATAAAAAGAAGTCCTGTGTGTCCGGTCTTCTCCCCCGCCCCGCAGTTTCTGATGCAGCGGATCTAGGCGGGGCCTGAGGTTGTTGTTTCTAACAGTTCCCAGGTGATGTGCTCCTAACTGTAGTCTAAGAAGGACTGCTCCCTTCTCCTTGCAAACAGGAGGCCCCCACCCCCACCCCGCCTTCCTGTTGGCTCATTTCACTCAGGCAGGCAGCGTGCCTCCGGGTCACCCGCCTTAGAACTTCCATGGTTTTTCTGAGCCTTTCTGGAACACAGTTTCTAGAGGATGGTTGAGTCTATGGTGCTCCTGAGAATTTGGGAACTCTGCTGAACTTAAGTGATGGTTCCCACTCCAAAATGGAGGCCACTCTCTAGTTCCTGGCAAAGGAGAAAGCTGGCATGTGTTTCTAATGTGCCCTTCTCGTGTGGTACATTGGTGCCTGTCGGCTGTATTGAGCAGAGAGAGATCCTTTTCCCTGTTGGAAAGACCACTCTCTAATTAAAAAAAGTAAAATAAAAAGCACAATTAAGTGAAGCCTGATGTTTGGAGGAAATGTGAGTATATATTTCTTGTGCTCCCTCCCCATCCTGTCCGCCAGCCTGCTCCCCTCTAGTATAACCACCACCTTCCCAACTCTTACTACCTCCTTTCTTTCCTTTTTTATTTAGTTTTATTTCAACCATCTTTATTTTTATATTTTAAAATAGATTTTATTGATTTTTTACAGAGAGGAAGGGAGAGGGATAGAGAGCTAGAAACATCAATGAGAGAGAAACATCGACCAGCTGCCTCTTACACACCCCCTACGGGGGATGCGCCCGCAACCAAGGTACATGCCCTTGACCGAATTGAACCTGGGACCTTCCAGTCCGCAGACCAACGCTCTATCCACTGAGCCAAACTGGTTCCGGGTAACCATCTTTATTTTATTTTATTTGCCTTTTTTTTTAAAAATTAAATTATTATCTGTGTACATATTTTAACATGGCCCCCTTCTCCCCCATCTTTATTTTTTAAAGGGTATTTTACAGCATATGATTTTGGGAACTTGTTTATAACAGTCCAGAATGTGGAATAAGTCCCTTCTTATTTACGCATCTTCCTCTTGACTACGAAACTTCTGGGACATGCGCAGGGATTTCTCTTGGGTGAACTCACTGGGATGTAAGCAATGTGAACGTTCGCCTTACCTAATGCCAAACTTTTCCAAAGTACTTGTACCAATTTACACTCCCTCCTGCAATTAATAAGAGGTCTGGTGGGTCTGCGTCCTTTGCAAAACTTGACGGTGTCAGCATTGACCTGGCCAATCAAATGGTTTACTGTGGTATCTGGCAGTCTTGACCTGCATTTCAGTTTGCATTCTTTTCTTCTTACTAGAAAATAATTGGGGGTTTGGATCAGCCTTTCTCCACGGTGTGGCTTCCTCTGGTACTTCTGCCCTGGATTTTGCTGGAGAAGCACAGTTGATCACTTAAGCTTATTCTGAGGGAAAAAGTACATAATGCCAAACAGCTGGGCTTAGTGAAGTCTATATTCTCAGGGGAAAAAAGATGCTTTTTGTAAATATTGTCACATATAGAAAGAATTTCTGGGAAGCCTGGCTAATTGTTAGCAGGTTTTTACTTTTCAACAATGTGATAGGAACATAAACAAACACAGGAGATGAGGTTCTTAATCCATTGCTTGACGTTTTAAATAACGTCTATTTGGATACCAACAAGGAGAATATGGTTTTGTGCTCCAGTTTGCTTTCCTTTATTTTGGTTGGTAGTTCCAATAAAAAAAAAAAAAAATTCCATCCCCAGTTCTTAGCTCATAGGGAACATGTAATTACATGAAATTGGGGGGGGGGGGGGGAAATGATGTGAAAATTTCCAAAGTATTGGCCTCAGCAAGTCATTTTGGAGAGAGTATGCCAAACATAAGCTTTATCCATATTAACGACAACATTGATTCAGTTAGGCAAAATTCTGTTTGGTTGTTTACCAGTTGCCTATTGGTTGATTATGATGAATGACATTTGCTCAGCAGGAAACATTTTAAACAGAAAAATTTGTTTTAATTAATTGTTCAGACTGATCTGTGGGTAGTTGGCTAAGCCAGATAAGAATGGAAGGCCTCAAAGAAATTAGTGTCTATAAGAAAGTGTCTATTAAGGTCCAAGTGAAAGTAAATTTTGGAAGTTCTCTGGCTAAGGAAGACCATTGGACATCTGATGGCCTGGACCCTTTTTGGGGTATTGGCCAGGTAACAGAAGATGGCACACCAAGGCATCTGTGCCTCTTAGGACAGATAATGTACTCATTCCTCTTGTGCAGTGATCGGCAAACTCATCAGTCAACAGAGCCAAATATCAACAGGACAACGATTGACATTTCTTTGGAGAGCCACATTTTTTAAACTTAAACTTCTTCTAAGGCCACTTCTTCAACATAGACTTACCAGCCCATTGTATTTTGTGGAAGAGCCACACTCAAGGGGCCAAAGAGCTACATGTGGCTCGAGAGCCGCAGTTTGCCGACCACTACTCTAGTGAGACCTGCTCTCAAAGACTGTGCGCCAGGAAATAGTGTTTTCAATGCCAGTTTAGTAATCCTTGAAGCAAGGAGATGGAAAAGATTATCCAGTTGCAGACTGTCCCTGAAAACGTGAAGTTAGGAAGTGCGAGTCCAAAGATGACGCTGTTGGGTCTCCACCCTAGAGAGTGGCCTTATTAGATCGGATTCTGCTTTCATTTGAAATATCTCTCGGCGTTTCACTCTGTGAAACTATTAGGAAGCTGAAAAGGAGCACACAGGTTGATAATGTAAACATTTGCTTGAAATGTATTTTCTTAGCTTGTAGCACAAGGGTGCTGCAAAGAGAGCCAACAGCATGAGCACAGTGTACAACAGTGCTCTTAGCGAGGCCTAGTGACAAACCTATTTTCTCCACAAAATGTGCTCCTCCTGCTCCTCACTCCTCTTTTCTATGAATAGCTTCAAACCTCTGAGTCACGCTTGCCGCCGCCTCCCTCATCCCACATCAAATGGAATGGCCATGCCCTGCCCGTCTCTCTCCTCTGGTCTCTCTCCTCCATTCCTCATGCCTGCCTTGTGCTTAACTGGGGTCCCAGCTTCCAGCTTTGTCCCGGACAGTGCATCCCCCGCGTGGTGCCTGGAATCGCCTCGCCTTCTCCAGGATTCTCTTTCAATGTTCCATGCCCTGCCGTAGCTCCTTAGCTTGGATGTCTCCCATTTGAAATGCCCACAGTGGCTCCTGACTGATCCAAGGATCATTGGGAGTTCACCGGGAGCTTATGTGGGCATCTCTGCCAGCAGCTTCATGTTAAAGAGACAGCACGGCCAAGTTCAGCGGCATCTTTGTATTCTGCACGGAGCCCGGCATGGTACTTTGCCAAGGTGACCAGAACATCCTGCTTTTGGCGGGACAGTCCTGATTTTGAACAATTTGTCTCGCGTCCCACAGCATTTTAAAATAGCCCCGATTTTTGGAAAGAATTCCAAATATTGGGGCTGTTTTAAAACGCCGGGGGTCAAATTGCTTGGTCCATCTGAATGGAGGAGTGGGGGAGTGAGAGCAGGTCAGCTGTGGTTCTTTGGGATGTCAGAAAGTCGAGTATGTTAGTGCAGCTTTGATTTTTTCTTAATTTGTTTTCAATGACCAAAACTTGTTTGCTGGAATAGAGGAGGAAGATAAATGGGACATGGCTGGCTTACGCCAGGAGAACCTGAAAAGTCACAGCTATGAAACTCAGATTATCTGGATATTGTATGTTGACAGAATTTCACGTGTCTCCTCTATGGAGCAATAACCTGTATCAGTGGTTTTACATAGGATTGCGAGAGTCTGCGTATGTTGTCTGTGTGTGCCTAGAATGATGTCACTTTGGAAAGTGGAGCAGTGGCTGGAGGAATGAGGAGCACAGGTGACGCTTTTAAAAGGGCTTTTCATGATCACATAGCTCTTTCAACTGGTTGCATGTGTGCCCGATGGTGTCCTTGCACATGTTAAATGTTCAAGACCCTGCGGGAAGGCCAGAGGTCAGAGGTGAGGCCTCCACCCTCCGTGACAGCCAGTCGGCTAACAGGCCCTCACACCTGTGGGTTGTCTGCGTGTCGGGGTGATTTCCAGTTTGAAGTTGTGGTGAGGAGTGCAGGCTCTCCTTATCTTCCTGTTAAATGGAGGGAGAAATGGGGGCTCGTGGGCAGCACCAGGACTCGAACAGCCTTCTGGCTGTTCCGCATTGTGGAGCCTCCTCGCTGGGGTCCTGCTAGTCTCTTGATTAACCCCAGGTGGACGCCAGGACTCACCCGTCACGTGGTGCTCACAGCTGCGCTTTGCCAAGCACAGCCAGCAAAGGGGAGTGAGGCTGGGGTGGGTTCTGGTGAAACCAGGCGTTGACTTTCAAGGGTCCTTTGCCAGTGTAGTCACACAGGACACACCAGTTCTTCTGGCACCAAATTGTGACAACACATGTGAATGGTCTTTAGAGACTCGGTGCCCAGGGCTGGTCACGTGGCCGCCCTCTGGCGTGCTGCCAAAGTTCAGACTCCCAGAAGGAAAGCAGGTGTTCAGCATAGACCGCACTGTATGAGCAGTTAGGTGCCGTCAGCCCCCCTTACCAGTTAGGGAACAGGGGGTGCCCCCTAAGTCCAGACTCCTAGACTCCAGCCAAGGGCCAGCCTTGGACACAGGCCTTCCAAAGGATGAGCGGTCTCAGACCTGCTGTGTTAATGTTTTCTGCACAGGTCTGGCCTCCTTCCTCCTCGCAGGTCTCAGTGACGTCAGGGGGAGGGGCTGACCTTCATTGCGGTTCGAGGAGAGGGAGAAGTGCTTACACCTGGCATGGAGTAGCAGCAAGGCTTCTGGTTTCCTATCAGAGGAAGCACATGCCAGCCTGCAGGGTGTCTGACACTCCACAGGGCCTGCTGCTGCATGCAGAGGCCCTTCTCTGCAGGCATGTAGTTGGCCCTTTATGGCTTCAGAGAGACTTTTCAGATCTATACCTTCCCGCAGGCTTTCGGTGGCTCGGCTTTTGCATATGACAGGTGCACTTGCCACATGGACCTCCATCATATCTGCAAGTTCTCTTGTGACTCGGATGGAGTGCCTGGTGTGAGTCCTCCAGCCTCCGCTGATCCTTGCACCTTCTTTACTGGTAGGGTGCGTCTGTTCATCCAAGACGGGGGCCTGAGGAGCAGTCTGGGACATGGTGAGAATACACCAGCTTTGGTCGAATCATGTATGGAGGACCAACACTGTACAGGGCAGTGTGGGAGACAGACATGCGCACCATCACCAAACCACTGCACGGAGGAGAAGGAGGAGGGAAGTCTGGATCCATCCTGGCCATTTAGTAAGAGGCCAGCGGGTTCGAGCTAAGTGCTGTGCGCGAGTTCCCTGGGGATTCAAGCCTCCGCGAGTCTTCAGGGGTGTCGTTGGCAAACCAGGTCAATAAAATCAGACAGGCCTGTGGAGACAGTGTGAGGTTCCTTAAACCAAGATCAAGGGGAAATGGAGAAAATGGGCCTGTTCCCCGGACAACTACAGGTACTGACGTGTGGGGAGGAGGAGATGGTAGGAAACACTCTGAACAGAATTGAAATTGGCAGGTTGGTGGGTGGTGAATCACAATAGCAGGTGTTGCCACACAGGCATGTGGCCTTAATCGTACACACGAAGCAAACTGTCAGTGAGTTCTGGGGTCATGCGGGGTGCTGTATGCTTTCTTCTTTCAAGTGCGACTCTTTGCCGCATCTGTTTCCATCTTTCAGAGGTCTCAGAGTTCTTGGCTTCTCCTCCTCTTGACACCTCATCACCTGCTCAGCCACAGCCCTGTGCGTTTAGTGCCGATCTCACAGGCTTGACTCGCACCATTTGATCTGCATTGCTGGACCACTGCCTGCTCTAAACCACGGTGGCGGCAGATGGCATTCCTGAGCTTGCACGGGGAACTGCCAGATAGTGTTGTCCTTTGGAGCAGCAGTAGGTGCTGTCTTCCCTGGGTTCACCATTCTCAGCCCTTCCCAGTCAGGCCCCTCCTCTTATTTACCCCGTCTCTCCCCTCCTCCTGGCCTTGATCCTTCTGCTTACCTATTTTCCCTCTGCAAACCACATGCCTTTCATGCTCCCCTCCAGATCTCTGCATCTGCCAACCCCTCCCCCAGGAGAAACCTTCTCGTTGCTGCAGACGCTCAACAAGGCAGCCTTCATCTCAGGTCATCTCAGCCCGGACCTGCCTGGATTCCCCTGCAATGCACGAGGCTGGTGCCCTCTGACACTCTTGTGTGTGTTGCGTCCTTTGGGCATGCACTCCTGTTAGCTGGGGTGGTTGCGGAGCCTTCATTCAGCCTTGGTTCCCCACCTGTTACCTTTAAACAGGAGATCCCCTGTCTGGCTCACCTCTCTTCAGGATTGGCTCTGCCTGTGACCATGCAGCTGGAGCACTGTCTCTGGAGGCTTCACAAGAAGCTAGTTTTGTTCCTTTGGGATCAGGTGCTTGCCAAACACTTAACACAGGGGGCAGGATCAGCTACCCCTGTGCACCAGGTTTTATCAGTTATCTGTTGCTGCGTAACTTGGAGGCTCAAAACAACCGTGCTTTTATTTAGTGGCTTAAAACAGCAGTAAACATCTTAGCATTTCCATGGGTCAGGAATTCATGAGTGGGTGGTTAGTTGGGGTGATTCTGGCTCAGGGTGTTCCATGAGGGCTGCATTCATCCGAAGGCTTGATTGGGGCCGGAGGCTCACTCACATGCCTAACAAAGTGAAGCTGGTTGTTGAGAGGTGGGCCTCTCCAAAGGGCTGCTTGAGTGTCCTCACAACATGGCAGCTGGCTTTTCCCAGAAAGAGTGGTCCAAGATAAAGCACATAGGACCTACCCTCAAAGTCACACTGTTTTTTTGTTTGTTTTGTAAAAAATATATATTTTATTGATTTTGTACAGAGAGGAAGGGAGAGAGATAGTCAGAAACATCGATGAGAGAGAGTCATCGATCAGCTGCCTCTTGCACACCCCCTACTGGGGATATGCCCGCAACCAAGGTACATGGCCTTGACCGGAATCGAACCTGGGACCTTTCAGTCCCCAAGCCGACGCTTTATCCATTGAGCCAAACCAGTCCCAGCTGTTGTTTTTTTTTTATTTCCACAATATCCTATTGGTTTCACTGGTCAGCCCTGCCTAGTGTGAGAGGAAGTCTCCAGGCTCTGTGACTCCATCTGTAAAGAGCCCTACTTGGCTGTTTGAAACAAACGGTGAAGAAGTGCTTGGCAGCCAAAACCGGTTTGGCTCAGTGGATAGAACATTGGCCTGCGAACTGAAGGGTCCCAGGTTCGATTCCAGTCAAGGGCATGTACCTAGGTTGTGGGCACATCCCCTTGGGGGGAGGGGTGCAGAAGGCAGCTGATCGATGCTTCTCTCTCATTGATGTTTCTGACTTTCTATCCCTCTCCTTCCTCTCTGTAAGAAATCAACAAAATATATATATTTTTAAAAGTTAAAAAAAAGAAGTGCTTGGTACACTGTTGCATAAGTGAAAGGGATGCTTCCAAGCGCACCCTGGAGGTCTGGGTCTGTAATCTCAGTTGCAGTGGCTCCTCCCCTGCTCATCTCTGTGGGTCTGAGACTTTAGTGGGAAGAGCCTGCTGTGGAGTTAGAGGTCTGCGCTGCCCAGCAGGACCCTGGGCAGTCACCCGTCTCCTTTGCTTGGTGTCTGCCAGGGCTCAGGCCACAGCCGACATGTTCTGCATGGGCACCAGTGCAGGTCCTCCTCCTTCCTCCCTGTGCCCACTGAAAACCCTTCAACCAAGCCTTTAGCCATCAGTCCCAATGGGCTTCGCCTCCCAGCTCTGACTCCAGGGCCTCTCCCAGCTTCAAGGGTCTGAGGTTGTGAGGATTTGCCCTGAGGCTTTCTTTAGGCTGGAGCTATTGAGTTGGGGTGCCTCAACCCATACCTTCTCTTGCCATCCCACAGAAACGAGGGTGAAATGGCCCACACCTGCCGTGGCACCATCGACCTGTCCACCGCGCACTTTGACAGGGAGGATTATTGCGGTATCATGCTGACCAGCGGGGCAAAGACCTACCACCTCAAGGCCGGCTCGGAGGTGGAGCGGCAGCAGTGGATCATCGCCCTGGAGCTGGCCAAGGCCCACGCTGTCCACATGTTGCAGAACCATTCAGGTAGTGTGCTTGGCGCATTGGGTGTACGTACAACGTGGTGGGTCTGAAGAGAGCGGGAATGGAAAGCACTAGGGGGGTGGGGGTGACCAGGAGACCCAATCTACTCCAGACCAACCCTGGCAGGTCAAGGTGCGTGTTCGCCCTTCCCACCTGGCTCCGTGGTTCTCAGCGGTGAGATGCTCACGTTGTTGGGCGGCTGGCAGCTCTAAGGATGGAGATGTTTGTGAGGGTGAGGCTCGTGCCCTTTCTTCGGAAGCATCTGTTCCTGAACATGAGGAGACCCTTCCGAGTGCATGCTGAACCTCTTGCCTGCAAACCCTCTTCCCCAGCACCCAGCCCCTTCCCATGCCCTGCTTTCCCTTAAGTTTGCTTATCCTTCAAGGAGAGGCCATTCTGAAACCCTCCCTGAGCCAGCCCCCTGCCCGGGCCAGACGCTTGTCTCTGCAGCCTGGCTCAGCCCCTTGTGTCCGGTAGCATAGAGGCTCGCGGGAGCAGGGCCTTCCCAGAGCCTCAGACTCCCCACTTGGCAGTCCATTGTAGGCCTCGATTTCGGACCTCCTAGCATCCTTCCGGTTCAAAGATTTCTAGGCCAGTAATCACCTTGATGACTAATTGCTTCCTTGGTAGCTAACCTCCCTGGCTGTTGTGACCTTGGGCAAATTGCTTGCCATCTTTTGCATCATTTCTCTATAAAATGCGCTTAATCACGAAACCACCTCGTAGAGAATTAACCTAGAAATGCATCAAAAGAACTTAGCACACGGCTTGGCAATTGCTCAAAAAAAAAAAAAAAAAAGGCAGCTGTCGTTATTAATAATAGTCACCATGGCAGCTTAAAAATAACACAGGTTCCCAGCTTCCCGTGCCCTGGAAAATCCAAATGGATGAGAGGAGCATGGGGGTCACCTGCGTTTAAGGGGAAAAAAGTCTCTCCTTGGGTGCGATTGCCAGATTTAGCAAATAAAAATACAGGTCACCCAGTTTAACTTGAACTTCAGATACACAACAAGTAATGTCTCTCTATAAATGTGTCCCACGTAATAGTCGGGAAATACTTATACTACGACTTATTTATAGTGTTTCTCAAATTCAGATGAAAAGGGCGACCTGCATTTCCTGTCCCTACATTTAACGGAATCCTGGGAGGCTCTCGACTCCAGGCCTGGTCCAAAGGTGAACTTCCCAGTCAGAAAGTAGAGTATTCCTTCAATGGCCACATGGGGGCGCTAGAGGATGGCTCATTTGCTCTCTCTGCTCCTGAATTCATGTCTAAGCGCCAGCAGGTTGTCTGACTTGCCTCTCAGTACTTGAGAATCATTTTCAGATCTCCAGGTTAGCTTCCCCGTGGAGTGCCGGGGGATGTAAGCATGGAATACAGAGCTGGCCACCCCGCTGTCTTGGGCCTTACCTCGAGGGGGGCTAATCCAGCCCCTGAGAGTTCCTCCTCTCCTGCCCTGCTCCCCAGGCTGGCCTGCCCCCACCACTGATGTCATAGTCCTATTCTGATATCACAGCCCAGCGCTCGGAAGGATCTTAGGCAGCCAAGATTCTGTGAGCAACCAAGGCTCACATCTGTGCGGGGGTGAGGGGAGCTTCAGTGACTGGGGGCCCTGGGGGCCGACCCTATAGAACATCTGGGCAGCCTGCCACTCCACCGCTCTAAAATGGAAATCCTCTGAAAGGTAGGACTGCGAGGGCTTCCCTCCTGTTCCCGCTGGTCGTGGCCCCCTCGGGTGGAAATAGACTCCTGGGAGCGTGCCGCTGCCCTGGCCCTGTTCACAGCTCCCGGCAAACCTGCTGCTTTGGCTGCAGGAGGCCTAGAGACATGGTTGTGTCACCTCAGTCCACTCAGCATCCCTCTCTTCCGTTTTGAAGGAATGGCTTTCTGAAGCGCAACGAGTTTCTTACTCGTTGGGGGGAGGTGCTCCCCAGTGATTGGAAAATGCCTGCAAGTACTGAGCCATGGTGCGTTCTTCTGTGGCACCCCCTTCGTCTTTACGGGACATGAGTACGTAACCTCGGAACAAAAGGGAAACACAGCCACATGCACACTCTTACCTCTCAGACCCCTCGCCAGGAGAAGCCCCATCTGCTTAGCTTGTCAGAAGGTGTAATGAGGCCTCTTGTGAGCTCATTAAGTTAGCAAAATATCGACGGGCACGGATCAAACGACACAGTGCCTTTTCTCTCACGTTGGTGGGCATGACGCCCCCTGGGGTGAGCACATTAAAATTCTTAGGGGCAGATCACCGGGATTCTGATCTGATGGGCAGGAAACCCCATTTTTATTATTTTTTTTGCTAATCCTCACCTTAGGGCATTTTTTCCATTGCTTTTTCAGAAAGAGTGGAAGGGAGGAAAGGAGGGGGAGAGAAAGAAACTTGGATGTGAGAGCTACATCAACTGGTTGCTTCCCGCACACATCCTGCAACCTAGATACTTGCCTCTGATCAGGAATAGAACCCACAGCCCTTCGGTTCAAGGGTCAACGCTCTAACCACTAAGGAACACCAGCCAGGGTAGCAACCCCCATTTTTAATAAGCTTTCCACTCAGGCCTCATGACAGTCCCCACGGATCTCACTTGAAGAAATATGGTCTGCTCAGACTCCCTGGGTTGCCTGCCACGGCAGGCTTGGTTCCCCCATTTTCAAATTCCATGCTGTCCATGGAATAACAGAGTTTGTTTTACTATCGCATACTTCTTCTTCTTTTTTTTTTAAATATATATTTTATTGATATTTTACAGAGAGGAAGGGAGAGAGATAGAGAGCTAGAAACGTCAGTGAGAGAGAAACATTGTCCAGCTGCCTCTTGCACACCCCCTACCGGGGATGTGCCCGCAACCAATGTACATGCCCTTGACCAGAATCGAACCCGGGACCTTTCAGTCCACAGACTGACGCTCTACCGCTGAGCCAAACCGGTTTCGGCTGTCACATACTTCTTAAATGCACTGGACCCAGGGAGGCAGAAGGGACGGGTAGGGTGTTCACCCGGCGCACTTGCATCCAGATCTTGGCCCCTATCTTCCAGGTGTGGGTGCGGCCATCTTTTCTTCCTAAGAAGAGGGGTTGCACCTGTCCTGGGAGTGCTCTACCCTCCACAGTTGACAGGCTATTCATGGTCCTCACCTGAACGGAGAGTGGAGCATGGGTGTGTTATTAGCCAATGAAACAGATAGTGGTAAAGGGTATAACTGAGCAAAGGGACTGGCTTCTGGTGGCCCAGGCTGGACCTTTAGTGGTGCCCAGAAGGGCAGTCATTGCTCATGGACAGGTCAGCAGCTGAAAAACAGGCATGCTGAAATGTTTGTGTGTGTGTGTGTGTGTTTTATTGGGGGGGATTGTCCTTCATTAGAGGATTAGTAGGATCAGAGTCATTTGACAAGAAAATGTGGACACAGGTTCAGTCTGCATGTGATGCATCCTTACCATTAAGGCGGGTTAAGTATAGTTTTCCTGCCAGGGCAATCACCTTGATGACTAATTGCTTCCTTGGTAGCTAAAGGGCATCATAGCACTTGCCTTTGTAATTATCAGATTTGAAAGGCTTACCGCTCTGTTGCCATTGAGGTGTTAACCTGCTGGTGGATCTGCAAGCATGAGCTCCAGGCTCTGATGCAGGCGAGGCTGTGGCTCACTATGTCACTCATTCCCCAGGCAGAGGGTCCCAGGCCAGGGCAGAACGTGTGACCTAAACCCAAGGCAGGTGGAGCAGGGGCATCCCCCTGGCATCTGCTGCGGTTCACTCTGCCAGGGAGAGCTGTGATTTGGAGATAAACTTGGAAAGGTCAGGGCGAGGTGTTCTGGGCTCTGCAATTGGAAGGCTGGCTCTGTCGCACCCCTCCCCCCACTGGCAGTCACTGAGTCTCTCTTGCATGGTGGCATGAGGGTTGTGGAGTGCCAGGTGCCAAGTAGCCAGGCTTTAGTTAGGGACGTGCCATTACCCAAGGCCATTCGGTCAGAATGCTAGAAGTGAAAAGGGTGTTCCTGGCTATTCCTGTCTTTTCAGAAAAAAACAAAAAACAAAACACCTTTGTTTTGTAAAAACACTCACAGAGAAATAGAAAGGTGTAACCATTCTGGAAAAATACATGAAAGGGAGAAAATTCTCTAATCTGCTAACCCTGGAGTTCACTGCCTTGTAATACTTTCTGTATGCAGGTGCATCTAGATCTAGATTTGTACTTTCATATCAGTGGGGGGGGGGTTGTCTGCAGTCTTGGCATATCAGGATAGCACTAACCTACTGAGCTACCGGGCCAGGGCTAATCAAACATTTTTAAACTATTTAGGTTGTGCTCAGTGTTTACCCGGTTCTCAGAAAAGGCACTGGGACACCATTGCTTTGCTTCCCGAGTTTTGGGAGGGTTTTTGGCACTAGTACGATGATTTCCTAAGGGCACATTCGTAGAAAAGGGATTATCTGAGTCACGTACTTGCTTCCCATTTTGATATGTTACTAAGTTATCTACCACAAAGGTTGTTCCAGTTTATACTTCCTTTTAGCAGAAATGCGTGGCTAGGTTAAGGGAAGGTACTCCCTGGAAGTTTTTCTCCCTGGAAGCTCATGTAAATATGCCACTACTATTCCATTCTACATAATAAAAGGGTAATATGCAAATTGACCCTAACCGTGAACAACCGGTTGCTATGATGCGCAACATCACAGTCACCTCCCAGGGCTGGGTCCAGGCCAGAGGGAATTTCAGGAGCCTTTGCAGCAAAATAGTTTGATTGAGAACCCAGCGAGCCTCCTACCCTGTCCCCAGATCAATAGGTAAATGGACAAATAGCACTAAAATACAGCAATAGAGTCAGAGGGCTCATGATTTAAAAACCCATAAGCTTTCATCAAAACAGCAAAACAAAACAAAACAAAAACACACACAAAAAACACACCTAAGTATTCAGGATCCACATACAGAATCTTCAGTCGCCATGGTTTGCATAATAAGAAATACATTTATGGATGCAAATGTATTTTTCATGGACCATC